GTAGCTGTTTTTATGCACTATCTCCCCCACTGCCTCCAATCTAAATTGTCAGTAATCTTGAACAGTTATCTTCCACGAATCGGATCAAGTGAATAACAACTCTGATTCGCGCAGAATCTAAAGACTTGATACTTCAATAAATGCCTCCGTAAATCACCTCTCCCATTCCCCACTCTTTCCCTTTCTTCTACCCACCATAGACTCTTTGCATAAAACAAAGGTAAGGACAGAGAAGCAGTCAGAAAAATAACTGATAGAGCAAAAATGTTCTATAATTTGTTATAAAAAATCTAATATTAGCAGATTAATAATAATGTTAATTATTAATTAGATCATTTAAGGACACATTTTCCATTTAATATACACCAGTTGTTATTTACAAAATCAGCATATACGTACTGTCTAAATGCATATGCAAATCTCTAATAAACAGGCAACATTTGTAACAATATTTCTTGATTAATTTTTAAAAAATATTAAGTAACCAAACAAATACTTGTTTAATATTTACCCAGTAAATTTATGTTTTCCTGTTGACTGAACAAATGAATGATCGACAGTCTTTCAATGCATAACATACTATATGGAGTTTTAAAAATATATATTTGATGGATCTTTTCCATTTGATTGATCTTTTCCAATGTTCTAATAAATAAATATCAATAAAATGAATTACAAAAAAAAAAAAAAAAAACATTTTAAAATCTTCCCAACTGAACTCAAATGCTGCCTGTTGTAAAATGTAATAATGCAATACTGTGTAATGTAATTGTATTTCTTGCAGTAATGTAGATTAGTAATCTTGTTCAGGGGAATGTCATTCATCAAAAAGGGCAGAGGGAGAAGGCCTTTAGAAGTCAGTTAACGCAGGACTAATGAAGCAATTACTACATTACATATAACTCATTCACTGCCACAGAGCGGTGTTATTGAAAAGAAAAGGACATTCACGGAGTCAATACAATGAAATACAATTTGTAGAACTATAAATCTTGTAGGTTCACCTTTATGATTAACGTCACCCACATAGTTGACACCTTGGACATTGCTCCTAATCACTATCTAAATATATTTCTTTACATCACAAACACATGAAAGTAAAATATACAAAAAACAATGTAGGAAAAAGCAACCTAAATAGCATTATTAACAGGAATGTAATAACAGTAAAAGTTGAATAAATGATGGTAAAAAAATAAAAACAAATAACAAGGTAAGAAACAGAAATAACATATTGTTTTGTTCATGCAAGTTTGTTACAAAGTTTAAAATGAGCTAAACTTTACCTTGAATTCTAGGGCTCAAGCAATTTCAATAAAAACATATGGGGGTGGATTTTTCAGCTTTTCATCCCTGTATCAAAAAGGTATGGTTCAAAATGTAAAAAAAAAGAAGGCTGTGGATCCTCCATCTTTTCAGCCCTGAATTCTGGGTTTCAAAAATTTCAATAAAAACATAAAGGTGGATCCATCTTTTCAGCCCTATATAGGGCCTCAGGCAACAAGAAAGGAGTTTGTGTTTTCCATGCTTTACATGCAATTTAGAGCTGGTAGTAAAGTCCTCTAGGACTTTGAGTGTGATATAAGAGTTTATGTTGTTGTGCCACACATGTTTGTTGCTAACTCCACAACATTTCAATGCAATATCCATAGGGGTATTCCTCCATGACTTTTGCACCAAAATTGTGTGAATTTTGCTCACTGCTGCAAAGTAGCATTGTTGCTATGCATTGTGAGACCTGTTTGCTAGGTACACATGCTGGGTACAATAGACTCTATCAAGCAAAGCATTAAAACGCAAGTTGTAGCATGTGGATATTGAACACTTTCCTATTGAACACAGCCCTGAGCACCTACAGCCACAGAGACACATTTGTGATTTTTCTGAGCACCATTATTTTCGTGCAAACAAATTGTGAAAAGTGCGCAGAAATTATCACAGTCACATGTTTGATGCATATTTTCCTACTCTGGCATGTTGACTGACACTAAATATCTTTCTTTTTTTTTTTTTTACAAAATTGTGCAATTATGGGCTGCTTGTATAATCTGGGATTTTTACTAAAAATTCTAAACTCCCCTTTATTTGTATTTTCTTTTTGCAAGAAAAGTTTACATAGCTAAATAACCAGTATCATAAGAGGCAATAAATCACAAATTTTAAATGGGAAAATATGGGAAAATAATCATCTGATCAATGCCTTATTCAATTTAAAATCTACTATTAAAAAAAAGTTTTGCATTAGAATTTTATTAAAACCTAGGGAGTGGATTATCCAGCCTTTTTGATTGTTGGCGTATAGATACTTGGAAATTAGTTCATAGTTAATTCTTTGGAGGTCTAGTTTAGCAACGTGGAGAACTGTAGTAAAATAGAGGCAAGACAAACCTCAATGTATTTTTTTAAAACTTCAGTAAAAAATTTTCAGTATATTTTAGACCTACACTAATAAATGAAAAAGGATTTTTAATTTGCAGTAAGTTTGCAAACCTATATAGTTTGAATGCTTGAGTTTCTAACTCGCTGTGACTCTGAAGTACAATTGGAGTTCATTTTTTTAACAAAAAGAATGTACATTCCAGCTACATTCTTTATCCTGATGTTTAATAATAATAGGTATTTAGACAAATCACCAACAATTTGTATTATTCCTTCCTATAATTAATTAAACCTGTAGATATAGCTTCGTTAGTTATTCACACCTCAGCTATGTAGGAGTCAACATCTTTGATCAATCAACTAGCTAATGGTGAGTCGTGAAATAAAATTATCAACAGAAAACGAAAATGCTATAAAATATTGTACTTTTAAAAAAAGAAAAATAATGCAGTAAAAGTAACTTTAATATAAACGGAAATTGCCAATACAAATACAAAATACTTTCAGTGTGAAAAAGCAACTACCAAATCCACAGCACAAACACAAACTTATATAAAATAATATATATTAAAGATCTTGAAAGCACCATAGATTAAAAATGCATAAAGTGCTTTTATATGACTTTCAGGGCAGTACCATTAATGATATCCACACATTTCATCTCTGCTTCTCCCCAGATCTTCACCTGCTGATAGTTTTACAGATGCTCCTCCAATTATCTGTCCTAGCTGACACCAGTTCCACATCCCGGCACAACAAGGAGTCTCCCTGCATAATTATTTATCACCCCTATACAGCCCAGCTACACAATACCTCGATAATAGTCTTAATAATTCAGCCTCCGGTTGGTCATTACAAATTGACTGGGAATCCGCCATTGCTTTTGCTTGCTATGAAACCATTTATCACTTTTATATAATGAAACAAAACATTCTAAAATATGATATCTCTTATATAGTTTTTGTATGTTTGCTTGTTAAATTCCAATGATTAATGCTAGGAGACAGAATCACTTTAAAAATAACATATGACAAAAATTAAATATGGTAAACAAGTCAAATTAGTTTTATTACCAATAAGAAAAATCTAGGCTCTGCCACTAAGGAGAGACCCATGTGTCACATTTCTTATTAGGACCACAGGGCATAAGCTATAAATGCCTCCTCTGCCACTCTGTTCATGTGAAGAATTTAATAAAAGCTCAGTTAATTTTAATTGCTATGATTCTTTCTTTCACCACATGACTACTGTGTTTTCAGATTGAACACACATAAGTGGAAACAGGAACTGTAAGCATTCATTAAAATGATTCCTAAAAGCCTCTAGCATTTACAATGGATGTTGTAGTAACACATCATTTAAAGACTTCAGATGCAATAGAATAAATTGTATAGGACAAACTTTGTAATGAATATACTGTGCAGCGATGTTCTCTCAAATGGATTGAAGACATTCAATGCAAACAATGCCGAATGAGCTACCTGTAGCTAGACAATGGTTGCAAACACTCTGCAATACAAAGTCTGAAACGATGGCTTATATTTATACTGATTGCGCAGAATCTTTAATTTTCTAACACCAGATTTTAAAGAGCATTTCAAGCAACATTGTCACTAGAGTCCACGGTAGTGGTTATTGTGCAGGTAAAGAATGGTGCCCTCCCAAAGCAATATGCCAAACTGTTTAAGAACTGTGGCGTAACAATGAGTACAAACACTCTGCAATAGAAATTCTGGTATTAAGGCATCAGTGATGCTACATGGCTTTACTTAGCTCAGTGAGGAGATTCCATATGCAGGACTACAACCAATGCACATACAGTTGTCAAACTGTTCTAAAACATATTGTCAAAATACTCTTGAATGATGCCAGGGTGCTCTCCTATCTCTAAATCTCACATTTCCTCTCCTCTGCTTTCTTGATATACTACCAGAAGGCAATCTACAACACAAAAATAATAGAAACGGACATAGAATAGTAACGTAGTGTACTGGAAGTTATAAAAGTAGATAATTGCACTCACATACCCAATTTGATTGCAGGCATATCATAAATAACGATGTGTATACTTCTGGATTTGTGGAATGTCAATCCCATACATAGTAGGAAGAATAAAAAATAATAGTGCAGAGTATCTTAAGTAGAAATAACAAAATTTATTACAAGATACACTTACAAGAAAGATGTATCAAAAAGGCACATCAAACTCAGCTGAAGCTGCAACCCAATCTCGGGATCAGAAGAGCAGAAGAGCCAAATGAAAATAGAAATAAACTTAAAAACTATAAAAAACAAATACTCAGCATATAAAAACAAGCCCTACGCGTTTCGTTCATAAATGAACTTCATCAGGGGCATCCAATCCTCTGTAAACCTCTGCTTTCTTCCCTTAATTGCCCTCTTTCACTGCTATACCTGCATATCTCTCTCCACCCTTAATTGATGCTTTACCCTTAATTGATGTTTTATTTAAACCCAGAATTTCTATTTCAGTCAGAGCCTAATGGACACATTTAAAGATTGCCCATGACTCACAGCCAGCACGTCTTGCAGCACTAAAGCCTTATTCTGAGGTAGCATTTCTTGATAATTTAAGCCCTTTAAGCCCTTCATCCATTCTGCCCTATGGAATGCACGCCATGTGTGCAACATAACTAAATCTACTTCCATCCGTGATGTATTCCTCTCACGCTCGCTTAACTTACTTGCTTTAACTGAAACTTGTCTCTCTCTTTCTGACATAGCTATCCCTGACTCATTATCGTATGGTGGTCTACAGTTTACACACAACCCAAGACAGTCTGGCAGTCAAGGTGGCGGTGTAGGGTTTCTCCTTTTACTTTGCTGCTCCTTTAAAACTCTTCCCAACCCACCCCCCCCCTTCCCTCACTTGAATCGCTTATTCAAACCCTTCTCTGCTCACATTGCTGTTTTTTTATCCCCCCCTGGGTCCCCTCTCCTCTTCCTTGACCACTTCGCTGCATAGCTACCCTACCTCCTCTCCTTTAACATAACATCTTTAATTCTTGTAGACTTTAATATTCCCATTAACCCACCCCTGACCTCAGCAGCCTCTAAACTACTTTCAATTACTTCCTCCCTTAGGCTACCGCAGTGGGCTAATTATCCAACCCATGTAGCTGGCAATATCCTCAACCTTATTTTCTCTTATGCATTTTACCGACAAGATTGAACAGCTAAGGAAAGAATTCTCCCCACCATGCCTTTCTCTTTCTCAACCACATGTAGATCATGCCTTCCCTACCCTTCAGACTTTCTCCCTGGTTACTAAACAGGAGGTGGCTGCGCTTCTCCTTTCCTCTCGCCCCACCACTTGCCTGCTTGATCCGGTCCCATCTCACGTTTTCAGATCTCTCTCCTCTTGTCTTGTGCCTTCCTTAACACACATCTTCAACTGCTCTCTTTCTTCTGGCATTTTCCCTGCTGACCTTAAACATGCTACTGTAGTACCTATCCTGAAAATAAACATCCCTCAACCCATCCACCCCCTCTAACTATCATCCCATATCCCTGCTCCCTTTTTCCTCAAAGCTTCTTTACCTGTATGTCTTACTTCCTCAATTCCACCTCTCTCCTTGACCCTCTTCAATCTGGCTTCTGCCCCTCCACTCTACTGAGACTGCTCTTATCAACGTTACTAATGACCTAATCGCAGCTAAATCCAAAGGGCACTACTCCATACTAATACTTCTTGACCTCTCTGCTGCCTTTGACACCATTGATCATGCTCTCCTTCTTCAAACTCTTCAATCACTCGGTCTCTGTGACACTGTCCTCTCTTGGTTTTCCTCCTATCTCTCCAAATGCTCATTCAGTGTCTCCTTTTCTTCATCCTGTCTCTGTTGGAGTCCTCCAAAGCTCTGTCCTTGGTCCCCTTCCTTTTTCTCTTTATACTGCCTCTCTTGGCAAATGTATTGCCTCATTTGGATTTCACTACCATCTGTACGCCGATGACACGCAGCTATATCTCCCCTCCCCAGACCTCTCCCCTGCTGTCCTGCAACGTGTCACTGCTTGCCTTCCTTCCATCTCTGACTGAATGTCCTCCCGCTTTCTAAAACTAAATCTCTCTAAAACAGAACTATTTGTCTTTCCTCCTCCTAATACTGATCCCCTCTTTCACTCTCCCTTCAAGTCTGTGGTATCCACATCAGTCCATCCTTGCAAGCATGCTGTCTTGGTGTCATATTTTATTCTAGCCTCACCTTTGAGCCTTACATCCAGCACGTTACCAAATCCTGTACATCTTAAAACCATAGTCCGCATCCGCCCCTTTCTTACGCAAGATGCTGCCAAAGAGCTTGTCCATGCTCTAGTAATTTACTGCATGGATTATTGTAACCTTCTCCTAATTGGTCTTCCCAAAAACCGTATTGCCCCACTACAGTCTGTAATGAATGCTGCCGCCAGACTGATTTTCCTCTCTAGTAAGTCCTCTCACACCTCACCCCTTTGTCAGTCCTTACATTGGCTTCCTGCATCCTATAGGAGTCAATTCAACATGCTTACTCATACCTATAAATCATTGACCAATTCTAGCCCCTCTTATATCATAGGCATGCCTCTTCTTGGTCTCTCTGCTCTGCCCATGATCTTTTCCTGCCCGCTGCTTGCACCCGTACGGCCAACTCACGCTTGCAAGACTTCTTGCGGGCGGCTCCCTTCCAATGGAACAGCCTGCCTACCACCATCAGACTCTTCCCTAGTCTTCAATTGTTTAAGAAGTGCCTTAAAACCCATCTTTTTAGGAAAGCTTATGGCCTCCCAGAGTAACTTCTACCTCACATACCTGTCTCTTGCTCTCTCCTGAAGGGAAGCATTCTACTCTCTCCTCCTGCTCTGCTTCACTCCCACCTTATTTGATTGATATTTCCTGTCCTAATGTGTTTTACACCCCACCTCCTATAGACTGTAAGAGAGGGTCCTCTTCAACCTATTGTTTCTGTAGATTTTCTTGTAATTGTCCTATTTATAGCTAAATCCCCCCTCTTATAATATTGTAAAGTGCTACGGAATCTGTTGGCACTATATAAATGGCAATAATAATAATAATAACAACTCCAGCAGGATGAAGTACTTGGGGTGGCCCTTGGAGTGTTTATTTAAACTTGGAAACAGCTATTAATTGTTATTTCTCCAGTATAGTGTCATGTTGATGAAAATGTTCATTATTACAGCAGTCCATCTGCTAAAGTCTCACTATTCAACCTGCTTTTAAAGTCTATTGGAAACAAATATTTTCTGGTCAAGACATATGGGCTGCATGAAGCAAGACTGTACTCACACTATACATGTGCCCATTACTGACTCATTCCTAACTAAACAAAAAGAGAGAAAACAGGATGTTTTCTTTGCAAAATGGCAGGTTATTCCAAAAAATATTACTCCTTCTGGAATGCAGAACAAGAGAGAAATGTGTCACGATCACCAAAGGAAAGTACAAAGGTGTTCTCAAAGGAAATAACAAACATTTAATGGATACATGGACGAAACATTGATTTGGGGGGAAAAGTCATATTAAAGTGATGAGTGACTAACGTGATCTCATCTGGTTCCCAGCTCCTAATCTGCTGGTTATTTGAACTCCTGCTCAGATCCAGAATCTTACTAGATTATAAAGATTTAGAATCCAGTTTCTTGTTTCTGGAAAGGGTTCACGTTTTGCATTAGCTTTCATGAACAAAGAAGACTTTCTTGGCTATTCTTTTAATAGTTTGTGTACCAGATCCAACTTTGTTTATTGTATAGCTATTTATATATGTTACCCAGGACTTTGTTATTAATTATCTTAATGGTCCATTTAATTCAACAAAAATCTTCTTAAACCAGGTAATGCATCCTGATGTGAAATGTTATCATTGATTTCTCTTCCATTAAAAACTAATTAAGCTTATTTGTGGATAATTATCCAGGTAATCAGTGCTCTGATAGATGGTGTTATATGTGATAGTGTCATGATTCTGAGTAGGTCAGATAGGAGACTTATGCCAGGGTTGACTTCAGGTACTTTAATTTGTGATCTTAGACATAATAGAAATTATAGGAAAGAGAGAGAGAGAAAACAGAACCGAATAATTGAGATTACCGGTAAGAACAACTAGTCTATGAAATAAAAGGGTTTAGTTAATAAGCCCAAAGATGAAAATAGGTAAACCTATAAAAGAAGTTATAGGAAGGAGAATGAAGATAAACCTATAAGAGAAATTATAGGTACGAATCTTGAGGGAAAACAAGATTTAGGCAATATGCCAAAGCACAGGATATAAAGAAACAGGAAAACCTATAAGAGAAATTATAGGTTCGAGTTAATAGAAGGAACAGAAGTGAAGGTTTAGGTAATATGCTCTGAGCATTTATCAGGTATATAATCAGATAAAACTAAACAGGAACATAAAGGATAAAGTAAAACAGATTAAAGTAGCAATTGAGGTTATCAGCCTCTTTGGTTAGAAATCAGAACTGTAGTTTCAGGGTCTTTGAGGATACTTGCAAATAATAAGAAAGTCTGTAATATCCAGGTAGGTTGCAACCAAATCAATATGAAAACAAAGTCCAGTATAGAAATAAAGTTGGTTCATTTTGGAGATCGGGTTGGAATAAATCAGGTTGGTTGAAGGTAAGTAAGATTAGAGCAGGTTTTCATTAGAAAGAGCCAGGAGCAGAAGACTTGTCAGGTTCAGAACACAACTTCTCTCAATGTAAAAGCTATGTGATGAGTGTAGCCTTTTGTAGCAGATTTGGATTATCATGCTAAGCGGGTAAGAGTGACTGAGGTGACTAGTGGCGAGAAACAGGTATTGCAGTAATAATACAGAATAAAATAAAACAATATCTTGGTTGTTAGGATAGGATCCTGATAGATAGTTTAAGCATTATAAGGTTTTCAATCATACAGGAAATTCCCCATGAATTAGAACATGGACCAAAGTCTTCTACAGTTTTAATATGGCCCTCGATGCTTAGCTCAAGAAAAATCCTGCCTTCTGAGTAATTTTTCTAGTCGAGTGGTACAAGCTAGTTTGAGTCATTATGGTTGCTTTTCTCATTATTTTCAAGATTTCTGTGGCTCAACTTGAAATCAGGGCAAATATTAGAGGAAAAGAGTAGCAACATAGAGTCCATCAATCTTTGTTCGGTCATCTGATATGATGTGAAGTGAGTGCTCTATAGTCTTTATCAATGTATTTATGATTTTTAAATCTGCCCAATAATGAGTGTTGTATATTTAAAACATTTACAAAACCAACAATCCTACATTGGCTGTTATTACAGTTGTGTGATTCTACAAAACAAAACAAAAAATAAAGAAAACTGTAACCAGTTTTGCAGAGAAAGCAGAACCAATGCACCAGCAGAACACACCAGGAATGTCCAAGGGCTTAACCATACTTGTTAGAACTATAAACAAGACGTGGTTTGATTCTAGTTGCAGAGAGATAGATTTTTGTTTTCAGAAATGTAATAGTTTAAAATGTTATAATTTCTTCAGGATTATTCCAGCAGAAGTCTAATCATCAATGTCCTGGAGAATATGCCAATGGGCCAGCCCAGGTTTGGAGATTACTGAGATTGCAAGCAACTAGCCCAAACACAAACTCACGCATTGTTTGACTAACAAAGTCCCTGCACAATTATGGCCTCCTGACACAAACCTGAAGTACTCTGCTTACAAACACCTCAATGCACACTGAGTTGCTTTTTGTCAGCTGAATAGTGCTGGGAGGCTACAGCCCACAAACCCTGTATACTAGTGACTAAGTGAGAAAATGGCCCTCCCACCTCCTGCTGGTCCTTCCTTGGACCCATGATTTGGGGAGGCATTTAAACTACAATAATTAATAAGAAAAAAAGTGATACAGGGTATGTCTTCCTTCATCAAGAAGATAATGTTATTCACCTACGTTCAATGAACATCTCCATAATCACAGTAGTTCCTCCTGGTATTTAGTTATTCTAAAAGTAATGTCATAAAAGTAATTGGCTAATACGCAATGTTTGTATGTTTTATTGGAAATAGAAAGTAGAAACCTTTCTAGAATAAAAAGACAATTATATTTAACCACTTAAGGACACATGAAATGTGTGACATGTCATGATTCCCTTTTATTCCAGAAGTTTGGTCCTTAAGGGGTTAAACCAAAAACCCTTATTCCTACTCCTGAAAAACCTTACAAGGTTGCTATCTCTGTAAGGTTTCATAGTTTTACATACAGGGCTGGCACAAGACATTTTGCTGCTCCCACTTTTGTACATACACACCAAATACCACCTCACATACCCTCACCCTAACTTTTCACACATAAACAATCTACACTTCACATGTAAACATACAGAATTATCTACACACATATATAAAATGCAAAGACACACAAATACAGGCACACACACAAACACTCACTAATTCATAGAGGTATACACACATGCATACTTATTTTTGGGGAATATTTGCAGCTGAATCTCCTGTCCCTTAATGTCTAAAATGATGCCCTCTTAAAAGTACCTCTGGGGTCCCATTGACCTACGGAGACCCCTTATGAGCTGAACCTGACTATATGTACTTTTTCTTTATCATTAAAAGTAAGCTATGAAAAATGCAATCCAATCAGCGCCTGGATGCTATTGTGTTTTTTTATTTTAGTGCATGTGATAAAAGTAACTCAACTAATAGAGAAAAAAAGCTAGTAACTAAATAAGTGCTTGCAACTGATGATTTTTATGAAAAAAAATTACTTTTTCTTTTTACAGAAGGTAGTTTTATGTGCCATATTAATATTTAAAATCATTTTACCAATCTATTTAATATAATTTTCTTTTATAATAACATATGGAAGAAGTCCATTCTTAATGGATGGAGCATTAGTTAACTAATAAACAGTTTATTATAAGTAGGTGATTAGTTAACATTATCACAAACCCATTCTTAAAGTTCAGACTTACGGTACAAAAAAAATCACAGAAGAGTGACACATTTGAAAATATGACACATTATTTTGTCCATGTATCAGACTTTGCTAAACAGAACATATCAAAACAGAATGTCCCCAGGCTTAATCAGATGTTTAACCGGTGAAGTGCCAGGACAATGCAGGAGTTTGGCATAATTATTTTGCATAATATATTGTTCTTAATTGCATGACAAATTACATCATACTTTGTTGTGGAAGGTAGAGTATGTTTGTATTTGGAGCCACCTAGTGGAAAGTAATCATATTACATCAAGCTCTACATAACCAGAAATTGATAATATTATTATTATTATTGGTATTTATATAGCGCCAACTAATTCCGCAGCACTTTACAATATTATGAAAGGGGGGAAAATGTACAATTAATGAGACAATTACAGAGTGGCACGGGAACAATAGGTAGATGATGGCCCTGCTCAAACGATCTTACAATCTATTTACAGTATACATTCTTCTGGTGCCTTTGGTTGTAAGTACATGCCACTAGTTACAAACAATTGGTCAAGGAATTATGTATGATAATTAAAAAGCACTTATATGGAACATTAATGTTTTAAAATCTCACCTCTAGAGCCTGCGGCTTAGATGACACTCAAAGAGAATAACAATCTTGATCCATATGCTGAGCTCTCAAAATTGCTAGCAAAATAATTTTTGAAACTAGTCCATTATTTGGTTTTAATTTTTTTGCCTTTGTTACATTTTTGTGCCTGTTACAAATGCATCTTGTGATGTAGCACAGTGTATGCAAATAGTACTTTTCCTTGGTATTACATTTATAAAGGAGGGGCAATATAATATTATATATGTCAATATATGGGAGGGGGAGCACACCTGCTGTACATGAGTCTACAGGTTAGAGAGACTTTCAGACGGGTCCCCTATTGATTGGTAGAGAGGGTCATGCATTTCAGCTTTTAACACTTACTGTGGCCCCTTTGATCTCTAGCCCACCATCATTTATGTCAGCAATTATTTTGTCCTTTGCCAGCTGGTATAAAAAAGTAATTTGTTGTTTTGTAATTTTTTCAGATTAGATTTCTATAAATAACATAGAATTTGTGAACATTCTGTGTTAATAAGGTCAATGAATATTACTGCTAAAATTATCATGAAATATTTTATGTAAATATAATCATTATTATCATATGTGTTGTTGTTCCTATTTTTTACTTTAGTAATTATTTTCATATGTTAGAAATCTAGCTTTCTGGTATGTCATTAGTTATAGAATCTATAGGATTATGAATACCCACTCTCAACAGACCTCTAGAAACCAATCCAGGTAATGTCCCAGGTTGATTGAAAGAAGTGGAGAGAAGAAAAACTTGTATTAAAACATTCTAGAGAAGCATTTCACAAGGTATTAAGGAAGAAGAATTGACAGCATATCACTATATAAAATTATAGAAATGTTGACTGTGAATAATGAATAAACTATCTAGAGGACTTCACTATTGTTGAATGCTCAATAAACAGTTACATGTCAAAAGTTCGGGGAAAACCCCAAAGCCGAACTCGGCTCACACCACCATCTGGCGTCATAGTAATCTTCACGTGTGAGATAACCTCTTGCAGTGCTAGGTAAGTGCCTTCGAAAAAGTGTCTTTTGTGAGGATGGATCTGAAAATGTAAAATGAAGAAAAACAGATTGGAAAATAGTGCAATGTAATCACTGGGGTTATTACAATTTATCTTTACAATATATTTACTTATTTTTTTATTTTTGAAATTCTTTATTTTTGATGTGGTAACATCAAGTTAGAACAAGTAATGATATGTTTACATGGATTTCAAATTTTCAGTAAGACAGAAATCCAAACAGAGGATATGAGAGCAATGTCAACAAAACAATATGTAACTCCTCAAGGGGCCTATAACAGTACAAAATGTTTTCCTTCTTTTTGCTATGCACTTCTGCACACTCACAGGGGCATCCACTCTATCAAGCATTCGCTATACAGCCTCCCCATTAAGTCATCTCACTGATAGAGGGAACAGGCCTCTGTTTCTGGGGTATATATAAGGGTATATAAAAAAATACCAAATGTGCCCCAGTGGGCCCTCTATTGGACTAACTTTCAGATGTCCCCACACATCACTCCCCCTTCTCCAAACATCATCACCCAACCATTCATCCCTTTTATGTGTGGTAAAAATAACTGGTTAAACAAATAAAAATCAGTTAAAACAGTTAAGGGACTGGAAAATTAAGAACAAGTACATAGGCAGTCTGTGGCACGGCAGACAGTGAATACGGATAGTGTTAAGGGCCCCAGCACGGACTGGCAGGTAAGTCACTGATTCGGGCAAAGTAAACCATGGAGGGTCTCTGATTCCGCTTTTGGCTAGGGTTCCGGGTTTAGGGACTGATATATTCGGGACCACAGGCACCCTCGGTGGCACCGTCGGCAAAGGAGGCATCTGCAGGGTATGTAGGACTGACGTTGGGTCCTCATCGGCTGACAGTGTCAGTACTGTTTCCCTATGGGGTGTTAACAGTGTCCCAGATGCTCCAACACTGTAGCGAATGCCACTCTCTCTTAGCCTTCTTGTAATTGGTGAAAATCTTCTCCGTTCACCAGCACCGAAAATAGTAAGTCGTCGAAAACATTAATTGCACTGTTTACCAAATTGACCATGGGAGTATTCCTGGAGCAAGCCAACAGGGTTGAGATATCCCTATTGATAGCAATAATATCTCTGGGTGTATCCGCTGGGGCGGTGGGTGACTTACATACTCGGAACACAGACAGCATTGGCGGAGCACCAGTGCTGCTGTTCACCTCCAGTGTCGAAGCCACCTTGTTTGCATAGTCAAGCACACTCTGTAGCACTTTCCAATATTATGAGAGGGGGCTTTAACTATAAATAGGACAATTACAAGAAAACTTACAGGAACGATAGGTTGAAGAGGACCCTGCTCAAACGAGCTTACAGTCTATAGGAGGTGGGGTGTAAAACACAACAGGACAGTAAATAGCAATCAAATAAGATCGGAGTGAAGCAGAGCTGGAGGACAGAGTAGAGTGCTGCCCTTTAAGAGAGAGCAAGAGACAGGTATGTGAGGTAGAGGTAACTTTGGGAGGCCATAAGCTTTCCTAAAGAGATATGTTTTAAGGCACTTCTTAAATGATTGAAGACTAGGGGAAAGTCTGATGGTGGTCGGCAGGCTATTTCGTCGAAAGGGAGCCGCCCACGAGAAGTCCTGCAAGTGTGAGTTGGCCGTATGCGTGTGAGCATTGGACAGGAGAAGGTCACGGGCAGAGCGGAGAGATCGAGAAGGGGCATACCTATGGATCTGTGAAGAGATATAAGAGGGGCTAGAATTGGTCAATGCTTTATAGGTATGGGTTAGCACTTTGCATTGACTCCTTTAGGATACAGGAAACCAATGTAAGGACTGACAGAGGGGTGAGGTGTGAGAGGACAGACTAGAGAGGAAATTCAGTCTGGCGGCAGCATTCATTACAGACTGTAGCAGGGCAATATGGTTTTTGGGAAGACCAACTAGGAGAGGGTTGACAATGAGCTTGTCTGTAGTGAACTTGTGTGTGTGTGTGTGTGTGCGTCAGTGATTTTGTCTGTAGTGAGCAAGTGTGTCAGTGAGCTTGTCTGTAGGGAGCATATGAGTGTGTGCCAGTGAGCTTGTGTTTGTCAGTAAGCTTGTCTGTAGTGAGCTTGTGTGTATGTTAGTGAGTCTTTCTGTAGTGAGCATGTGTGTGTCAGTAAGTTTGTCTCTAGGGAGCATGTGTGTGTCAGTTGTATATATAATGTATATATATAGTATATATTGTATGTAGATAAAGTATTGGTATGTTTCTTTTTCTAATTCAAAATATTGGTTCTGTCAGTGTAAAAAATATAATTATACAGTAAGCATATGCACATGCAGACACTGAAGACACAGACAATCTCACTGACACAAGTACACAAGTTCATTAATACACAGGCTCAGAGGAGGACAATCTCATTGATACACATAAGCTCATTGCCATAAAAACACAAGTTCACTGATACACAGAAATAGGCTCACTGACAGACAATCTCACAGACACACACAGACAAGCTTACTGGTACACACACACAAACCTAGTACAAACTCTGACACTCATACAAGGTTACTACAGACAAACTCATTGGTATACAAAGACAAACTTACTACAGACAAGTTTACTGTCACACACACACACGCTCACTACAGACAAGCTCACTGACACACATAATCACTACATACAAGCTCATTGACACACACACAAGCTCACTGACACACACACACATGCTCACTACATAATAGTTTAAATATACACACATACAACATGGCACAATGACTTATGGGGCTGGCATAAATTTATTTTCAGGGCTGCTTTGTGTCCCTAATCCAGCCCTGCAAAAAGGAGCCTGTGTACGCCCATGACCATACCACACTCACACTGCAGCCATAGACACACACGCACACTTATACTTGCACACAATATACATGTTGTTACACGCACACATATGCAAACTTATACACAAACGCATATACACTCTGATACACGCACATGAATACACATACAAAAAAATGCACAGCAACACACACATTGACAAATACAGACATGCAGTCACAATGTGTATCTGGCTATGTGTATTTCTTCTGAGTGTGTCAGGAATTGTCTACCTGTGTATGCGCATGTGTCTGACAGTGATTATCCTTGTGTGGGGATGTATGTCTCTGTGAGCATGTATATGTTTGTGTCTAGATTAAATGTACAACCATGCTACTCTGAAGAATTGAATTGAATCCAAACCAAAATCTGTTTAGATTCAAAGATCTCCTCTGAGAGAATCAAGCTCTCAAAGCATAAGACAAATTTATGAGGGTCTGCGATATTTTCCCCAAAATTAGTATTTTGACCTACATTTTGCAAATTCATTGTCAGCTCTTCATAATTCACTTGGATTTATAAACTGCACTGGAATGATGATGAATTGAAATCAATTTGCTAAATGATTTTTTTATTATTTTTTTTAATTCACCAGAATTCTCTGTTTAATAAATAAACTCCAATGGTTAGTGAATATATGATTAATTGTATGCCATTTTCCATTTCCTTTTTTTAATGCTTAAATATCAGCATTTTTTCTTAGCCTTTTTAAAATATACTTCCTACTTTAGCTTAAATTCACATCACATTGTGTTCTTACCTTGGTAACAGGAAGAAGTGGTTTCCAGTTATGCCCTTGTTTGACCCCCCACTTTTTTCGAATGCAGTCTTCTTCCTCTTTTGGAAGCAGGATGCAAGCATCAATTTTACAAGAGTTTGGGGAATTACCTATGGCATGTAATAAGAATTAAAAAAAACAATTACTACATTTTCACACATTATATACTGTACAATATATACAGTTTATGTATACACATACATACTATTGGATAGTACTCGCATTCACAACCAGAACAGCATGCATTCAATATTGGAACCATATTATCACTGGTTCTAGCACAATTTAACTTGTTGAATATTCTGTATGCCAAATCCTACGAAATTTGAGAGCTACTGGAGATAAAAAAGAGAAAGCTAAAAATGTATCCTGAAACAGGTGGAAACTGCAGTCTCCCTGTTCTGGTCTGGAAACGGTGTGTATGATGGGAGGAGGAAGTAGTGCCTTTGAAGAATTTGTAGATATAAAATAAAAAAATATTTTAAAAAGCCTTGTTGAAGGTGAAACACGTCAGTGTTTATTACTTATTGTATTGCTTTTACTATTTCATTTATTTTTTTAACAAATAATCTTGTTAAATAAATTAGTTTTTTTTTTTTCAAATACCCCTGGACTTGCCCTGATTTCTACTTTTCTACTTTGATTTCCTATTCCTTTGGACTGAGCCTCTATTTTGCTTCCCACTAGTGAGTAGCTCTCGAAATATTTTTATCATTGTTTATGCATAACAGTGAGCAATATATTTTTATTTCTGTTTTTATCCACATAATACACCACAAGACCTTCCACCAGCTAACAATATCCGTAAGTGCGGGTTATACCTTTCTATGCTGCTTTCTGAGAGCCTGTTGGAGGCTCTATAAAGTGTGAGGGTATTTCTTAATTGGTTTTTACTCTACCTCAATACCAAGACATACTGAGCTAGATTGGCATTTTATCTTCTGTTTATTTTACATACTACCTTGGAGCACTTGAATACACCAGATATCCCTAAACTTGGATTTTATCGCATAGGTGCATTCAAGCAGAGCAACCTCAAGCTCTACACGTTATAAGCGCATTTTCTTTTTTCTTCCACCCACTTGTATCAAATATACTGCACTATATTTCATTGTATTCTTCTTAATTACTTATCTACCAACATTTGAGAACTCCTCAAAGGCGCTACTAATTCCTCCACTCATACACAGGTTCTAGGTAAATGCCTAAACAAAAGGCCAGAGGCAGAGTAAGATCGTGCTGGGCAAATAGAGGGGAATACTTGAAAATTAGGCATGGACAACAACATAAAAAGCTGACACCAAAAGCTTGTCTATGCTCAGGGTGGTTTTACATGTCAGGAACCCCCTGCTCCCCAACACAAATATAAGGTAGATAAGGTATAATAAACTTATTAACTGGATATTGCAGGCCTAAAACATCTAAAAATAAAATCCCATTTTAAATATTCATATGATGTCCAACATTTATACCTTTGAAGTGATTAGTATCTATTTCAATATGTGTAATTAATCCCGGATGGCCTAGTCTGAATATGGCCCATTCATTTCCAGGTACTTGGAGAATTCCTTTACTGTCTGCCTGAAAGAAAATATGTATTTATTATGTTATTAATTAAATGGCTGCATGGCGGAAAAAAAAAAAGGAGAATAGATAGTTATGTTCTGTTGTGACATATACATAAATATCTGAATATATTTATTTGCCATGACACGACACACTCCAATGACGCAGTAAATGCGTCACTTTAGACCTAGTGTTTTACAAATAATTGACAATTGGATAAACTGTGGGAAAGGACTATAATTAGTAAGCCCTCTCATATCTAAGTCCATTAGTTGTATTCCCTTCAGAGCATGTTGTGCTACTGTGTTCCTGTGATATTACTTGATTCTGAACATTTTTTTTTTAAGCTCATTAAATGACTATCCCTTGTTTATTGCCCGAACCAAACCCTGGGAAGTTTACTATCGCTGTCATACTGGCCTAAGGTCTGTTTATATGGCTTTATCTGACTTTATCTGACTTTATGTTCTACTCCAGCAGTTAGGGGTCAGATCTTGATACCTTAGTCTAGTTTCCTTTATAAGCCTACTCTTTCCTCCTAATAGCCCTGACAGAGTCTTGGTTCCCCAGATTGTCTGCCCAGTCTGTCTTTATTCTCACCAAAATGTCTACCCAGTCTGTGTTGCTTTCCCATCTATTTCCCATCTATTTCATGTCTCCCCAGTCTAAACAGATTCCCTTTACATGTCTCTACAATTTGTATTCTTTAACCCCTCTATATGTGTGACAGAATTTAAAAATTAGTCACTATTAGTCTTCTGTTTCTAAAAGACCGATGCAAGCTATAAAATAAGGGTGACAAAATGTGAGGTCCCCAGCTGTTTTAGAAATACAAGTCCCATGATGCTTTGCCAGCTTCAAGTCATAGTAAGTACAACACAGTTCCACCTTTTAGCTATTGCTTGCTGTATAGATATAATATCCAAATGGATGCGCTTATTTTTCTAGATTTGTTTTTTATTTTGTACTTGAAAGTGTATAAATGGAAATGGGAAATGATATAGTACACTGGAAAAAAAGGGGTTTTTTTGCACCAGGATTGTTCTACCCCTCTACTTTTTATCCCATTATTGTGTCAAACACCAATTCATAATTAAGAAATAAAAGTTTACCTTTAAGATTGGGGGCCTATCCAGTCTTCTTGCTGTCTCCCAGCCATCACCCATATCTTCTGCTCTTCCCAACCCTGAAAGAATTGGTGCAATCCAGTTCATAATGGACACTAGAAATCTTCCCACATACCAGAATATATACAATTTTAGGACATATGACAATCCAGCTGCATTCTTTGTAATAATATAAGATCGTTGGCCAGCATTTTATATATTGGTGTTCGATTCTCTTGGAGACATATTGGCCCTCCCACAAAGAAACTATGAAACTGCTTATCTTACAGACATGGATGTTTATGGGTAATTTTTAATTGTAGTTTTATGTTTATCCTAAAGTTTTGTTGAGATTCTTCAGTAACTGTGTCACATATGAAACAAGGGTCATCTGCACATATATTCCTTGCTCCTGCATATGGCTTAAAGATGTCTGCATCACTACTAAATCTGTGGGAAAGAAGAGCATAGTCCCAATTAAATAATGCATGAAAAGTGATAAATTATACCACCCTTTCTTCTTCACATTTTTATTATACGTGGGACTGTACAGAATGGCTGAAAAAAATTCCAGACCTTACTATTCCACACCTACTGTTCCAATAAAACATAAGAGCAAATATGTTTTACTACATCATTTATTTTTTTGTGATACAGATTGAATGTTGTTTTTTTCTTTCTGACCATATGAGTATCCCAATAATCCATCTCGGAAACTTGCAATGAGTTATTTTACTTCCTGTTGAGTAAATAATTTTCAAGTGCTATATATATTTATTTCCATTTTTCATATGGTTCATAATTAGATTTAAAGACATGTGTAAACTGCTATTTATCTGTAACCTGAAAAGTATATATGAGTTTTTTGCCAAGCGAAAGACATCATGTATAATGTTATGCGTAGCACATTAACGACACATTGTAATATATTTGGATAAGCTTTTCAAATAAATTCATATTTTGAAAAATATTTTAATATTTTTTGTAAAAATATTGATACATTTTTTTAATATGATATATTTTTGATAATTAAACTTTGTTTTAAAATCATTTTAAAAGTTTTTAAAATTATTTTAAAAGTTTATATAAAAATATAAAACCATTTGAAAAGCATATCCAAAAATTATAGACAAATGCCATTATTGTGTATTAGGCATTACCAATTAGAGTATGGTAAAATAATAATAAGAGAGATTTGGCTAATTATATCTACCAGAAATATATTGAAGGAGAGCCTATTTTTTTAAATAGCTTCTGAGATATTAATTTTGCTACAATTTATAAAATGTTAAACTACAATTACATCTGCTTTGAATTGCAACTAAAAGGTAAATCAGCAAATGATTTTATTAATTACACATTCCTTTTGCTGGGTTGGACATATTTACATTACTTACATGCTATTATTTATAATTTGTTCCAGTCTCATTAGTTTCTAATATTAGTAGAATGTCTCAGAATTAGAATTGGAAGTAGACATTGTAATCTGATCAGTGTTGTACCTATGAGATTCCGGGGGTGTCCATAATGGGCGTCACTGAAACCAAGACAGACACCGCCATTGACCATTGACAGCAAATCTTCTAAATCATTAGGTCCACATGATGACCATTCTCTTTGTCCAATGCCATAAACTTTAAAACGAGCTATTCCACCATCTGTATCAGTAAACATAAGAAGCATTAGTTGCCTTTAATACAGTGGGAATAATATATCACATATAATGATGACTGACCAAACGAAAAGTAAGACTAAAGACCCACAGGTTTATTTACTTAAGTCAGAATTGCGAATCTGAAATCTTGGGCTTAATTTTCTCTAAATATAATGTGGGAAAGCAGAAAGTAAAGTCCGTAACGTCTGCACAAAAAGGCCTGAATGCTGATTTAAGAATGCTGATCTCCAAATAAGAGATCAACCCCAACTTGGGAATAAGTTTTACAGTCTGCCCACCCAAATGGTTTGGCACCAACTACCAAATTGGCGTGCATTCCAGTGGAAAGCAGACGGCACTGTGTAACAAACCAATTTGGTCATTGGTACCGGACCCTTCGGATGGGCAGACTGCAGCTGCCATCCCTTCCATCCGCCCAACAAACTGTAGGACCGGTCCCAAGGCTAGGTCGATCTTCTAGCATTCAGATCTATTGGTACATATCTTGTGGACTTAATTTTCTGTTTTCCATTTGGCTATTGTGGTCTTTCAATTTTAAATTAATTTTATATTCACTTTGAATTCCCAGGAATGTTCAACATGTACTTCAGGGCAACATCTCTTAAACAAATGAAAGTAACAATGCAACATAGAAAGTTATTTATCGGTTTGGCATAAATGTTGACATGAAAAAAATGCATGTCAATAAAGAACTTTTATGTAACCAGATGTCTCTTAACCACTTTTTAAATTTTTATTGCTGCGAGTAAATATTCAGGAAACATCAGTATTAATCCTACTGATTGTGTGATAGGCAAGTTTTTATTAGGTATATTCACTGTTCATAAGGTTTTTGCTTTCTGTACCCAAAGCAAGAATTCTATCTAATACAATGTGACAGGAATTACCTGGGTAGATATTTAACCGGATATGAGTCCATCTCTCCCTTGAAGTAACATGAAAGTAGCTGTGGCTTGATTCTTGGTAGCCTGGTTTAAGCTCCACCATTTTGAGAAGATAATCCCATTTCTCAGAACGAAGCTAAATAAAAAAAAAGATTAACAAGTATGATTTTTAGAATAAAACTAGATAAATTATAGTTCGGTAAAAAGTTAAAAGGTCACCATGTTTTATTGTTATTTAAAATGAATGATTACATGTTTTATAGCAGTTGTGTGTATAATTTTGTAGTGTATACATACTAAGTAAATATCTTTTAGTTTACCTTTAGTTTATCTTTTAGACCGGAAAGCAAAGTTTACCAGACAAAAGTCTTTGCAACTTTATGTCATTGAAGTAGTCTGAATGCAGTAATTAAACTTACTTTATTACACATTCTGTTTAATTTAGAATTTCTAAACTCCTACTCTGTTAATAGCATTGTATACCCTCTGAGTGATTAAAGTTAAATTTACAGTGCAGGAGATACAACCTCTAAAGTAAGTTAGCATCTGATTAACAAGTAAACCATTTTTTTCATGTGAGTCACAGCCAATGGAGGGCTTGGGGTACATAGTCAGAAACAAAAGTGATTTAACTTCTTAATTGTGGAGAATTGAGCAGTTAGACTACAAGGGCATGATCTGTACACCAAAACTACTTTGTTAAGCAAAAGTTGTTTTGATGCCTATAGTACCCCTTTAATTTATGTTTATGCATAACAGAATAATTAAAATATTGGGTATATTATAAATAATCTTTAATTTTCAGTAACAATAAAAAATGACAGTTTTCGAAGTTTTACATCTGTAGTTGCCAATCCTCAGGGAAACCAACTCTGGATTTGCATTTCGTCTTCTCTAGGTAATGTGCAATATGGCCCACTGGAATATACATTGTCTGGAACAACAGCTTTTCACAAATATTATACAATTAAAAGGTATAAAGGAATGCTATAGTGTCAGGAATACAAACATGTACTCATGACACTATAGTGTAAAACTAACTATATCGGTCCCCGGCCCCCCTTACATCCCAATAAAAGGTGTTTAAACATACCTTTTTACCCATGCAGCTCCGGTCTCGCCATGGCTGACCCCGCCTAACTCTGACTCCATGGCTGAGATCATCAATCTTGATGATCTTAGCCAATCCAATGCTTTCCCATATTAGAGTATTGGGAGGCTACTGCACATGTGCAGCAAAACACCACCCTGCACCAATCAGCACATCCTCAATGAGTCAATGTATCTCTATGGGCAGCATTCAGCACCTCCATGCAGAGCGTGAAGACGCTGATCATAGATGCTCCACTGGAATGGAAAGCACCTGAGTGACTGCCACTAGAGGTGTTACTAGGCAGCAATGTAAACACTGCATTTTCTCAACCCGTGCTCAGCCTGCAGAGACATACTATAGACACGAGAACCACTACATTAAGCTGTAATCACCCATGGAGAAGGTGTCAGATCTGAGGTACACATTTATAAACTTAACATTAACTTGTCATCTATCGATGACTAGATTCAGAAAAACATAAAAAAATAATTTATACATAGTAGTAGCATAATCATCAGTCATTAAAATATATGTTAAAATAGTTATAATAGAAAGGTATACAATAAATTGTCAAATGGTTCTGCACTATTTAACAATTACAAGTTTATAACAATTTTTATTACTGCTGTGCAAAAAGAATTATGGCGACAGATGCTAACTTGATGTAAGTGATATTTAACCCCTTAAGGACCAAACTTCTGGAATAAAAGGGAATCATGACATGTCACACATGTCATGTGTCCTTAAGGGTTTAAACATGTATGAGACATTTCCATTTAGTTTGAATTGTCTTACACTGAGGATTTTAGCACAGCTCATGGTGGCCATACATCCATATAATTGATGGTGATTAGTAGAGCTAAAGATATTCTATCCGTGACAGATCGGAGACAGCTCCAGAGTCTAACTGTAGATACACATTTCTTCTCCGACTCTAATTCACTAAGCTGATTCAACAGAAAGAGATTTTTTTTGCACGGATTTTAACACAAACACAGGCTTGCACAGTGACAGTTCCGTGCTACGTACTCAAGTTTTTATATTTAAAGAAGATCTGTTTTGTTTTAATTTTTAATTGAAAATATTTATAAAATTTTCTCTATTTCTGCTTTCGTGGTTTTGTGTAAATAAACACAAGGCTCTTCTTTCTCAGGTTTATCAAATTCCTTTCCTAAATGTTATTTAGTTCTAGTACTTAAGTCCTTCTGCTTCTCACAACTCACTATGTGAAATGTGACTATTGGCTAACTCAGTCATTAATCACATTACACAGCACAGTTATCCAATGGACTTCATAATACTGTAACCAAGAAGTAAGACTCTTAAAGTGGCTTCTCAGTTTATGAATCCCTATGCTTTCACTCAAAGGATTCCTTCTTTTATCCCACGCGATGCACCACCCAATCCCCAAACTTTTTTTGACCGTGGGAATGCTTTAACTCACCATTTTTGTTGGTTTTCTGGTCCATCCAGGTCTTCTTACTCAGTGATGGCATCTTAACGTTTCCAGAAATAATATCTTCTGCCTTTTCCTGTTTTCCCGTGCATACTCATGACCTACTACGGCTTTATGTATTTGTGTGGACTCTCATTATGGTTCTAGAATCAACACTAAGGATCTGTGACATGCCACTTTAGGAGGTGATATGGTGCTGGAGGTAGGTTAGTATATTGGTTAGTATATACAGGTCTATTGACAAAGGCTGTGGAGCTTGCCAACTTTTCGTTATGTATAACTTTGCAAAAAAGGGCATTTTGAAGAGGAAAGAGGGGAAAAATGAGTGACAGAGCCATTTTAATTTTATATGTACACCCTCGGCACACATGACTTTGGCAGTTCAGAACTCTGTGCAATTCTATGCAACTCTATGCAATTCTGTGAATATTTTATATCTATTGTAAGTGCGCTTGCAACAGACATAAGATTCTCCCTTGCAGGTAAGGCTTTGCTCACCCCTTCCTCTGTACATTGATAGCCATTTTGTTTTGTCTGTCTTTTTAATAAAAATCTCTTCCTTCCTCTTTGCCTCCCCACTCTCTCCCTTGGTACAATCACCGGCTTCTTTATAAGATACCTATGGTTGCTCCACGTGAGGGCTTCCATGACACTGGATGGATAAGGGAGATTACAGGTAAGTAAAAAAAATAGGGTATTATGAGTTAAAAAACAAAATCTCATTAGTTATAAGGGTTGTAGTAACCCTTTTTAATGGATAATTCCATACGCACTTTTGGGTGCTCATTAATGGAAAAAAAACAGTAAGGAATATGTTTGGGCTTGTTAGACTCTAATACTCATTTTCTTGCATCTGTGGACAGACTTACTCATTTATTTACTGCCTCCTCTTTGCATAATTTATCGTGGGCCTACGAGCTACTTCTACCAATCTCATTTATGTTGCATTATTTGGTTGATTGTACTGCAAAAATATTGTACAAACAGTATCGATAATACTGTACTATTTATATTTATGCTATATCTTATTCTCCCTCTAATAAAAAAAGGTTTTCGCAAAAAAAAAAAAAAAGTAAGGAAGTTAGAATGTACTAGAAGCATATGAGCATTCTGTATTCTTCATCCATAGGTACAATAGAATACTGTATTTACAAACATTAATTCCATTCAGCAAAGTATTAAATTGCACTTTCCTAATCAAATTACCAAAATGAACATTTTGCATTACACTGTTCCTAGTTATTTCATATTGAATAAAATACAGGTTCTGGAACATGTGGTGCTATCTTGGTGTTATACCTGTTCAACAGCTTTTAACTCTGCATCCGAGGCAGCTGTTCCAGTTTTGTCTAGTCTTGGACCCAATGTAATGTTTTCTAGATGGAGAGCAAGAAAACAATTAGTAATAAATACACATACATTTGATATTTGGATGAATATGATATAGTTTGATGAAATATATTTAAAATTAATTGCAGAAAACTTGTGTGAAACCTAATACACCCTCATAAGGGGTTACCTGGCTTTAAGCATGCAGCTTGGACAGAGATGCGAGGGGCATAGTTTCCAGTGAAGAAACGTGTGTCCACATCTAGACCATGAATGACTCCTGCTACTCCCAATTCTATAATACACCAGTCGTGACCTAAAGAGGAAGGAAATATATTTAACTGTGAAAGATAACATTATCCTGGAAGATGTTTGGGCTAAAAGGCTGGGAACGTATGTTGAGATATGTGGTCCACACATATCTACAATGCCTAGTATTATTTTGCATGATTGTACTATTCTGTACTAATTAGATTTTTTTTTTACCTGGAATTCGTTTTCTTCTTGTTTCCCATCCGTCCATCCATTTGCCAAACTCTGTAAAGAGACCTGGTTTGAATTCCGGATCCGATTTCTGAAGAATACAGATTTATGGATACGCCAGAACGTAATATTGTTACTCATACCTTCAACCACTATGTGTCAAATTAGAAAGGTCTGCCTGGTAGTGTTCAAACTTAGAATATGGGGGAACCAGTATTCCAACGGTAAGGGATTTCTATTTTCAGTATCTACATATTTATATAGAACACAATACCTCCCAAGTGTCCCATTTCTGTCAAGACAAATTACAATGTCCACACATGTCCTTCTGCCTCACATTACTCTTTCACTCTCCTGTTTCTATGAGGCTTTTGCACATTTACCAAACCTGCTGTCCATTTATTGTTCTAAAATTTACGGGCTTAAAATCTTTTAGACTGTATGGACTGCTGACATCCCTACAAAGATAACATTGCTCCTTGTCAGCCTTCTTGCACACTGTGCTGTATACATCACATCTTTAATATTTCAATATATGTATATGTATATTTTGATAGACAAATGCATGTGTGTGCATGTTTGGATGCAATATTCATGTCTTATTAGTGGTCAACTTAGAGTAACTCCTTCTTAGTTAGTTAATACAATGTTAAACAAAAATCTGCACACCAGTCAAGCCATAAGACTTGCTTTTCCCACAGAAATCACAAATTTGCAGTGATGTTACTATCGCAAAGGATTCTGGGTGGGCATATGCAAATTAGTTTAACAAAGAATCACATTTTCTTTGTTAAAAGTTTTGCTGTATACAACAGCTTTGAAACACAACTTAGGAAAAGATGCAAAGCCAGTGGATACAAGGATTACCTCCATGCAATCTGGGGACTCCAGTCTTTGGGCAGAACCAGGATACACGCCTGTCTGCCCCAAATTAGTGTGTTATACACCGGAGAGCTACCTGTTATTATTTAAATATTGCAGTTGAAATAGCTGTGACCAGGGACTATAATACATATTTTGTGAAAAACACGTACAATAGTGCAAATGTAATTATTATTTTTTAATTTGAGCATATACTAAACGTAATTAGTTTTAATTTTCATTATCAAAATCAAGCTGTTGGTGTTTATATAAACATGACATTGTTTATCAACAATATCTAAAGTGCGCTAGTGACTTAAATTTTCTTAGTAGTGATACAAAATATTACTTATTTTTCCTATTTTGTCCGAGTTGGGATAAAAGACCAGTTGTGTCAGGTGACTTCTTAGAAACCAGCATTTCAAAACAAGTTTGCCAATTTCACAAGCACTATGATTTTTTTCCCCTTACTTTTAAAAGATTTTCTGCGGCTGCAAACCAATCATCTGTTGCAAATAACACCTGCAGAGATAAAAAGAAATGATTGATCTGGTTTGTTTTGCAAGTGCAGTGGTAATATAATGGGGTTCTATAATCATATTCATTTTATTATCCACGTTGTAGTGTCGTACAACTTTTATACAGTTGTTTGTTACATTAAGAATCTGAACATACATGTAATACGATATCCCAGACCTCGTCACAAAACCTTGCAAAATAGAGAATTTGAGAACTCTGATAATGGGAAAAAGCCTTGAACGTTGTTTCAGACATCTTTGGACCTTTTTAGCAATGTGTAACAGTAGCTGATACCCCTCTAGACACAGTGATCACCGGGTCCACATCTGGATTACCTTTTTAATTAGGGAGAGCCAAATGCAACACTAACAGATAATATGAGAATTCTGAGAATGAAAAGCTTAGAGAAACTCAGTAGCTTGTCCTTCTGTTAGTCCCCGCTCAGGTCTCAAAATGTTTTTGTCCACTAGTGCCATTATGAAGGGAACCAATACCATTTGCATATCAGACTGATCCCACTCTCTAGTCACAAAGCCAGAGAGGATAAAAGATGGGTGAGACAAAGACACTGATTTAATATATTTGGACAAGCCTTTCAAATGATTTAAACCGTTAAAATAACTTTTTTCTAATTATTAAAATATAATAATAAAAAACTCGGCAGTCATTGTGCAGGCACTGCAGCATGTAATCGCTCATGTGTGCCAGACTGCCCAGAAGCAAGGACAAGCTGTCCTCTGTGGGAGGTGTATCGTCTGTGTCCTCCGTATCCCCCAGCCATGCTCCAGCGATGCCCACAAGCTGCGTTGGGTGCCACCCTGCTGTAAACACAGTTCCTCCTCCTCATCATCCTCCAGAACTGTGCTCTGGCTGGACAATTGTGAACCTGGCCTATGCTGGTGCAGGAACCCACTTTTGAATGACTGGCCAGATAACCGTGGAAATGAACCCTCTTCCTCCTCCTCCTCATCCTGTGCCACATCCTCTTCCATCATCGCCCGAAGCGTTTTATCAAGGAGACATAGAAGTGGGATAGTAAGGCTGAGAATGGCGTCATCGGCACTGACCATGTCGGAGGAGTACTCGAAACAGCACAACATGGCACACAGGTCTCACATGGAGGCCCACTCATTGGTGGTGAAGTGGTGCTGTTCTGCAGAGCGACTGACCCGTGCGTGCTGCAGCTGAAACTCCACTATCGCCTGCTGCTGCTCGCATAGTCTCTCCAGCATGTGCAAGGTGGAGTTTCACCTTGTGGGCACGTAGCATAGGAGGCGATGAGCGGGAAGGCCAAAGTTACGCTGCAACGCAAACAGGCGTGCAGCAGCAGGGTGAGAATGCAGAAAGCACGCACAGACGGCATGCACTTTCTGCAGCAGCTCTGATATATCTGGGTAGTTTTTCAGGAATTTCTGCACCACAAAATTCAGCACATGCGCCAGGCGGCGGACATGGTGGCGTTGCTGCCACATCCTCTGTTTGCTGGATGGCAGGTGCCACTGTCATTCCAGAGGTGGAGGAAGAGGCCGTGACAACAGCAGAAGAGGAAGCTTACTCCACTGCAGCTTGTGCTTTGCATGTAGATGCCTGGTCATGCAGGTTGTGCTCAGGTTTAGAACGTTTATGCCTCGCTTCAGGCTCTGATTGCACAGCATGCAATACACTCGTGTCTTGTCATCAGCACATTGTCTGAAGAACTGACACGCCAGGGAACTCCTTGGAGCTGGCTTTAGTGTGCTCAGTCACTGTGTGTGGTGGGCAGTAGCAAGCGTACTGTCTAGGGGACAGCAGCTCCGCTTTTGCACCCTGCTCCCTCTTATGCTGTGCTGGTGCCTCTGTATGACCACCGCCTCTTCCTCCAAACTGGACACGTCAGTGATTGATTCCATGTGGGGTCTAGTACCTCATCATCCTCCACATCATCTTCTACCCACTCCTCAACCCTGCCCTCCTTGCCGGTCTGCACACTGCAGAAAGCCACAGCAGTTGGCACCTGTGTTTCGTCATCATCAGAGACGTGCTGCGGTGGTCCTCGCATGTCCACATCCTGACACATAAGTGCACTCAATCTCCTCCACTTCTGGGGCAGGGCTAGGTGGATGTTCCATGGAAACCCCACCAGCAGAGTCATCAAAAAGCATAAGAGACTGCTGCATGACTTGTAGCTCAGACAGCTTGGCGGATTTGCAAGGGGCTGAGGTGAAAGACAGATGGCCATGGGCTGCAGGTGCCAACTCTGATCGTTCAGCAGGGGACCGGGTGGGAGACAATGTGAAGGAACTGGAGGCACTGTCAGCCATCCAATCTACTATCGCCCATACTTGTTCTGGCCTCACCAAATAACGCTGAAGGTTCTGTCGCCTACTTGCACCTGAGGAAGGTGTTTCACTTTTGCGTGTAGCTGGCACAGATCGACCACATCCTCTACCTGCAACAGGAGCTCCACCAACACCAGCAGTACCACGACCAGGGCCACGTCCCTTATTTGTCGCTCTCCTTATTCTTTGCGTTCACCCACCAAACTAACAGATGGTTTATGTCAGGTGACAATGTAATTGCCAATAATCAACAATTAAGTCCACTGACAGTAAGGCAGTGCCGGTGTCCTAAAGAGAAAAACATTCTAGAGGTCACACAACAGTGTGACAGACGTAATTAATACAGTTACTTCACTGTCTCAAAAAATGTGAACAGTTTTATTGGACTGCAAGAAATGCACCGCAGGCCGCAAATGTACTTTTAGCACCAAAAAAATTAGAATTTTTCAAAGTGCGATGTAACCACAGTATTTGATGGTTCTATTTGACTCTCAGATATGAAGTGCACGCCTCAAATTTACTTTTTAGCACCATAGAAACGTGAATTTTTCAAAGTGCGATGTAACCACAGTATTTGACGGTTCCATTTGACTCTCAGATATGAAGTGCACGCCCCAAATTTACTTTTTAGCACACAAAAAGTTTGAATTTTTCAAAGTGCAATGTAACCACAGTATTTTACGGTTCTATTTGACTCTCAGATATGAAGTGCACGCCCCAAATTAAATTTTTTAGCACCAAAGAAATGTGAATTTTTCAAAGTGCAATGTAACCACAGTATTTGACGGTTCTGTTTGACTCTCAGATATGAAGTGCACGCCCCAAATTTACTTTTTCGCACCCAAAAAAATTGCATTTTTCAAAGTGCTACGTAACTACAGTATTTGACGGTTCTATTTGACTCTCAGATATGAAGTGCATGCCCCAAATTTACTTTTTAGCACCAAAAAAATGTGAATTGGTCAAACTGCAATGTCACAGCAGTATTTAAAAATGCCTAGATGTTCCCTACTAAGCTACCAGAACAGGATTAAAGTAATGTGCCTGGCACACATGCAGTTGCAAGTGCCCACCTAACAAACAGACTGATTGTTTATTTCTCTGTGGCACTGGGCTCAGGGAAGGGTACAAAAATGTAGCATAGCACCCACAAAAATAATCGCTGTAGTTTGCAGATTCAATACCAGAATTCTTTCCTAATCTGTCCCTCACAGCTGCAGCATCCTCTCCCTACGCTAATAAGAGCTCATGTGACGTGAGGCTAGGTCACATGCTGCACTGGCCAATCACAGCCATGCCATTAGTAGGCATGGCTGTGATGGCTTCTAAGGGCACACGAGTCAAACGCTTGTTGATTGGCTGTCCTGCAGCTTTTCAAAACGCGCAATTAAATCGCCGAACACCGAACTCGAACCCGAACTGTTACTGAAATGTCTGGGTTCGGGGTCAAAAAATCGTAATGTTCGGTACGAACCTGAACTTTACAGTTCGGGTTTGCTCATCTCTATTTAGCACTTAACTTTCTATCTCTCCCAGTGCTATGAATATATATTCATAATAATATTACATTTATATTAATATAACATTTAATATTATATTTAGATTGTTTAATATTAATATAAATTTCGAAAATATACTATTTCACAAAACTACCAATACTGTTATGTTTGTTATCCTGAAATAAGCGGACTTTTAACAGTGGCAATAATATTTAACTGATTAATAAGCCACTGTTGAAGTATACGCCGTGAACCTTGCAGTTCTCTTTACTTGACAACCTATGTTACATAGCTGATAATGTTTAACTGACCATCAGAGTATTTGCTCTTTGGGACAATTAAGTTCAAAAAGTTTAGGTTTTGCAATAAGCAAATGAAACGTTAAAGTCAGGTACAAATAGACCCGCTTTGGTGTGAAGAGTGCAGCCAAAAAAAATAATTTAATTTGAATTTACTGTTTATGCTTTAAGAAAATAAAAAGTCATATTATAAAAATAACACCCAGATTAAAAGTCACAAGAGTTTCAATCTATGAAATATTTAGTGATCACTTGAAACCACTGACCAGTGTAAGTTCTGAGAAATGCGTTGGAACTTAGCGGTAACTCATTTAGGGTTATTTGCTAAAGAGAATGTAAAGTCAATTCAGTAAGGACAAAGTAGCCAAACTAAAAGCATAACTGACTTGGACAATTTTCCCAGTTTGGCTATTTTTACATTTAATTTGAAATTCACTTTGAATTCTCACTTCAAAGAATAACCGTAAATGTTTTTGTTGTTTTTATGAAAAGTTTTTATTTGGAAGTTTTCCCACAACATTTGTATCAGGAATAGCTGATGATTGATAATATAGATTGCACAATAAATGTAACATCAATTGTGCTGCCTCTGTGCCCTGACGCAGGCTTTATGTCAACATCAAATCAGCACACATTTGTCTTAAAGCTCGGAATAAGTGGTGTCCTGTGTTCACAGTGCTGACATTCTTTAATGGAATTGTCAACTACCATCTTTTTTTAATGGAAATCAATATTTGGATTATTTTTTTCATTATTTCCAATCTTCTGTATAGAATTTGTACAGGAATATGAAAGTCTGTCTTTACATGAATAAATCAACCCAATAGCCAGGAGAACATGTGGACTCATGTATTATCTCAAAAGGAACAAGGTCATAGAGTGCTGCCTATCTTTCTGATGGACCTTGTTCATTTAGTGGGGGGTGCAATTACCATGATATTATAATTAACTTTTCTATTTTTTATTTCTTTTGATCTCTTACATATTAGCTTCACAATTATTTTTATATGTTTAATTAATGCTTTTCTCGTAATTATTTCATCTTTATTATTGCCCAACATTCATGTAATTTTAACATATACATTGTATATTGATATACGTAAGTTATTTTGTCATTTACCTTTGCCCCTACATTTTGACTGGCCAGGTTGTTCATCTGCACAAAATCAGGTTGAGGTTGAGCTTGTATTGGTTGTGGAACAGAATCCATTGCTTTGTATTCTCACGGGGTTACTGTGCTGTTAAATTAATGTAAATGTATATTTATGAGAAAAAGAAAATAACATACACTCAAGGGTGTTTTGTGGCAGAACAAGTGCTGCATTCTGAACAGTAGACCTGTGCATGACAGAAAAAATAGTTTCACCCAAATCGATTTGTCTAAACAAAATGTTCGGTTCGCCTAATTTCGGCCATGTGGTGGAACAGCTCATCTAAAATTCATCCATGCAAAGAATTCTGAAAAAAAAACTAATTGGGCAAACCAAACGAATACAAAGATTGGCAAATCGGTGGACTACTACGTTAATACATAATATTTACATGTGATATTATCGATATATTTAGCCCTTCTTATTTCATGATGCTAAATCTGGTTGAAATCCGGTCAACCAAATTATAAACGATGGTATTTTATCATTTAAATTCAGTTCAGATTCAGTCTACATCTACAGTTGAGCATTTGGTTGTGAATAAGGGTTCAGTTTGGCTGATCTCTGGTTTATTTATGTATTCATTTATTTATTTTTTATAATTTAGTGGCTGCCCTTTTTTCTGGCACCACAGGCAGAACTCTAAATCACAAATTAACGAATCAGCTATTCCATTGTCCATTTCCATTGTTTCATATCTCAGTCATATGGCGACCCACCGGTGGCCCAAAATTCAGACAAATTGCAATCTGGGAGAAACAAAATGCACAAGTCTACTGACCAATAAATTGTAAGATAAATGAAAATGATGGATGATGTAACTTCTTCTGATGTATCTGTGAGCTTTGATTGTCTATATTACAGGTTCACTTTAAATTCCACTGTATTGTGAGAATCATTTTGGTCATTTTATTATCAATGGAAAACTGACGAGCAGTTCAGAATCCAAGTGCTTACTAGGGATAAAGATTATAGGCTGTATAGAGTTAAGCGATAACCCTAAGAAACATTCAGTGATCACTGGCTCTTTAAGATAAAGTGGGACTGTTAAGAACCATTTAGAAAATATACATTTTGATGAAGGGTGTGAGCCTTTAAATTGGTTATGTTTGGTTTTCCCTATGTACTTGGTTAATATTACCAGTCAATGTTGTTTTTGCATCTATATGGGATGGAGATTTTAGAGTCTGATACCCTACTATATATACTACCCTCAACCATGAGTTAAGCCCTTGTTAATGAAAGTTCCTTGGAATTTCTGGTTCTCTAGCATTAGTAATGGAGGTGAGGAGTGGTGCCCAGTGGACCATTCTCAACCAATGAGCTAAGTCATTGCTAACTGAAGTTTCAGCTTAGGAAATTCTGGCTCTTCAGTCTTAGTAGTGGAGACCTGGAGAAATGCCCAATGGACCTCAGGTAATAAGTCCAGCTATTCAAAAATAGTTTTTGACTAGTTACACTAAGTAGAGCGAGGAAACTCCTGGTAACCTAACCACTAAAGCGTGCAGTTATTTTGATGGTGTTTGGTGTGTTTTTTTTTAACAGAAAGGGTATGTTTATGGTTGTATCCATTTTCAGTGCTTAATGAGTAGAAAAATAACAAAAAGCTTATAAAATGTAAGGCAAATTATGACAGATAAAAGTTTTATAATATAGAAATTACTGTATAGCTGATAATTCAATTAATTATTAATATTGTTATTGTACAAATAAATAAGTGATCAATAAGGGGGAAAAAGCCCAATATTCCAATAATGAAATCCACTGTATTTATCATCCCAGACTATTTGGGGTTCACTCATTAAACAGCATTTTTTAGTAATGAAGCAAAACTGGAGATTTTTACCTTAGTCAATGCTTAGTTGAATACGTGTAAATTAATATCAAATAGCCTTTCATATATTAGCTTGTATTTCATTATGGTTTAGAAAAGCCTTTATATTGTTCTCTCTTAGTTTTTATTTCATATTATATTATTTCTGGAAGGACAGGCAAATTAGAAAAACAAACATAACACACTAAGCTACTCTTTACAATATAGCAATAGCAATGGAAACAACATAGCAAGCAGAACTGAGTCTTGGATCATGTTCATAGTAACAATAATAGTTTTAAAAAGAACTAGGCAGTTTTCTCAGGATATACTTACATTATACCGTTTCACCTGTCTCACCATAAAAGTGATGTGGGGAATAAAGAGAAATCTTTTCTTCCGTTATTCTTAAGGGAGGCCTAATGATATACTGAACAGTCTGTGACAGAGATAAAATGTAAAACGTTCACAAAATGACAAATTTTAACTTACTCACCTTATTCAATTCTTCCACCAAATAATAAAGATATTATGACATTCAATTTCCAATGCTGCTTCGTCAGTGATAAGTTGTTTTTTTCAATAAAACATAAATTGTTTCTACTTCCTGAAGATGTTTATTCGTTCATGTTCTCTCCTGCTTCCCAATCCTGGATTTTGCAAGCATTTGTCAGCACTGTTCTACAGACAGAGCTAAATTTACCTTTTAACCAGGATGTAAATCAGTTACTTTATAAATTGATTTTGTAGGAGTGTGTTGAAATCACCAGTGCATTTGCATGTGTTTTGTCAGCTTTATTTTTCTGTCACTGTCTGCATTTCACCTCCACACCCACCTATGTATTGCTCTTCTTTTTCCCTACCTTACCCCTGCCTACCAACCTTTGACTCTTCATCTATCCCCCTACTATTTCTCAACCATCCCAGAGTTCCCAGCTTGAGATGCAAATGGGCACAGACAAGTTTTGTTTATCAGACTTCATTCCTCATTTCTGCAGATACCCTTAGCAATGGGCACTATTTTACACACAGCTATTTTAAACCAAAGCATGGGCTATGATCCAGAAGGATAAGTGACCTGAAACCAGCCATTAATTGCAGTTTCAACCTTGTGAGTCTCGTCAGTTTGGCACTGGCCTGAAAGATAAAGTTTCTCTGAGAGCATACAGCTTAGGTGCCAAAATCAATTGTGGTGACATCCAACACAATAATACTAGCCACAGTGTAAATGCATAATTACTGTTATTCATCAACTGCATATATCAATATGGACTTTAAAATATGATGCCTGTGTTTGCGCATTTGCATGTCAAGCCTAGGTCTTTGGGATAGTTGTAGAAACATGATTTCTCAAGTTTCCATGCCGAAGGAGGACTTCTCAGTTGTCCAACATGAGAAATGCAAGTGATGCATAACACCGTTTTTTTGTATTTGCACTGTGGGGAGTTTTATCGTGTTTAGTCTCACCACAATCTTTTTGTTACTATATGATTACAAAGATACTTAAACTGCCAGACCAAAACTGGCAAATAGTTGGGATTTTTTTTAAGCCATGCCTGGATTTGAAGCAGATTTGAAACATTCTGATCTGGACCTGTCCAGCAGTAAATACGGACCATATTCAGGGCCTGAATTGCAAACTTCAGATGATGTGGAATAAGGGAAATAATGTCCAGATGGTGCCTTATGTAGCCGGATGGCTTTGGCCTATTCTGTGTGTGGCCATTCAGACTCTCATTTCAAACTATTTTATTGAGGCGAATAGTCGAATTAGGACATATGGCATCATGAATATTCGAATTATGACATATGGCAATGAGAAGTAGCATAAGATACAATAATGATGACAGTGCCTCTTTTTAACAATTAACATTCCCAAAAGGGGGCGAGACCTGGCAGCCAACCGAGATAGCCGCATTGTGCTGGAGCTCCTCAGGGAAATCTTCTTATTAAGCCTTAAATTGGACTTTGCTGCTCTCTTTTCGGTTACAATCTTGACTCCATATCTGGAGAACACTCTACTGATCCTCAACATTTCCTGGTTTGCTAACTCTTTGTATTTCCGTGTATATTTACATTAAATTATTATACCAGCATGTCTATGAAACCATGCACAGCAAAAATAAAGAATGTAAAAAATAAAAATAAAAAATCCCGAAAACGTCTCAATTTCCCCTGGCCATTCAAACCTTAGCGAAAAACCCTGCTATAGTCCAATCCTATTTTCAGAGAAAAGCTTTGTTAAAAAGAAAATCTGCTTTTCACCATTTTTAGCCACTTCAAACCTTTCATGAAAAATAATCACCATTCCATTATATCTGATACCTGTTTTAATACCCTCTCTTCTATTTTATAATTGCTTTTCACATTTCAGTTGCTTTGTTTTGTTCTTAATGTCACACACCACTCAGCCCCAAGCCTCTTCCCATTATTCAGTAACAGTCTAAACAGTGGCCATCCTGTCTTTCATCATTCATTAACATTTTCATGCCATGCTCTAACATTGTCATCCTCCAATAAATATGTATTCAGCTTAAACACATCTTTTCAACACACCTAACATGTATGATCTGAAAATGACTGTTACACTATACACTAAGCATTTACTCTTGTAGAGGCAAAAAAAAAGTAAGCAGGCCTTCTCTAGGGCATTCTTTGGACATTTCTAGAGTGCTCTTCATCACAAAACTATACCAATCTCCCTTTTTTATGATATACTTAAATTGAAAACCACATTTCTATATGTGTTACCCACTGTCACTATTTTAGACTCCTGATGTTCATGAGCCACAGATGAAGCAGTAGCCCCTGTTGGTTGTAAATCATTACTACACCCTGGGAAAGAGAAGTAATTTCAAACAGGATATATACATTTTGAAAAAAAACTATTATGAACATTGACTAGTTCTATCAATTGTTTAAGCTCAAAATTATAGCCCATGGAGGCCTTTTTTATGTTTTAGCTTATATTTCAGCTTGGATAATTACCACAACAATTACACAATCTGCCACTATACTACAATCACTCAAACACGTCATGTGTTATTGTTGCTAAACTGTAAATAGTTAAGCTAACTCTAGCTAAAATAACTGTTTTTAAAAATGATACTGTCACATTGACCTTTTTATTGAAAATAAAAAAAAATCTACATTACACAAATCCACATATCTTCACATATAAACCCATTGTAAAAAGTCAAACCAGTTTAGAATGATTTGATTTCTTACCAGTCATTCATGGGGGCGCAGCTTCTCACCTCCACTACAGCTCAGTGAGAGCCAGACACTCCAAGTCTGGAGCTTCCATTAGCTCTCTTGACCTAAGTCCTGCAGTGCGGCGCCAGATGATTGGCTGAGAGCATCAGTCGATCGCTCTCAGCCAATAAACCAAACCCTACATCGCCAGACTTAGCTCAGTGTAGAAAGCTTCTGGCTCTCACTGAGCAGTAATGGAGGGGGACATCAGTTAAGAAGTCAAGCCATTCTAAAACAGTTTTACTGTAGGACACTCCTGGCACCATAACCACTGCAGTGCACTGTAGTAGTTATGGTGATGGAGTTGTTCCTTTAAATGCATCACTGATCTTCTTGAAACCTCCTTCTAAAGCTGTCAGGACATATTAGCTAGTTTCATTTGCACTGAAACCATTATTTGTGCTCTTACGTTGTATTTTTACCGTGTAATGTTTCTTAATATATTGCAATGTTGCATTTCATTTAAACAATGTATATGCAATAAATTCATGTTTTTCATGGTTTTGTATGCAGTAAATATGAACTATAAATATACAAATAATTGGCTTATCCCGGGGAATGGCACTGGGTGGCTTCCCAGCAGGGTATTTGGAAGAAATATCTTAGTGGACTCAATCCTTAATTGCTCTTGCTGATAAACTAACATAGATAAAAGGACAATAATTATTTATAAATGACAGGTTATCTACTGGCATGTTTTAAAGGTAAAGAAAACCAGACACAATAAGAAACTTCATTCATTTATTTACTTATAAGTTTAATCATGTAGTCATTATACAACACATATAGTTTCAGATAGGACATCATGAAATACAGATAAGTGTCCAATGCAAAAGAAGAAGTATTAAATCAGGAATTTTAAATACTATTTAACATATTCTGGGTAATCTGCAGAGTTTATTGTCAACCTGAATAAATTCAGTGCTCTCAGCCAGAAACAATACTTTCTGCAGTAGTGATATATTCTATGCAAATATAGATTGCGAAGGTAGATAGGACAAAACCAATCCATCTGTTACTGCCAATTTTGATTTATAATATATACTCTTTTACTTGGGGTTTTATTTTCTTTGGGAGCGGTGCTAGTTTAAGGCACATTACAGACATTTTGTCAGCCTTTACTATTTTTTTCCAAATGTCTCAGACTTACCCACAATTGAACAAGTGTTAAAGGAATTAATTATACTTTAACCATGTTCAGTTATCTTGAAAAAAAAAAAAAAAGTTTTATGCAATAAAAAATGTAAAAATATATAGATATATTGTTACTTTTTAAATAGTGTCGGTATTGCTTATGTTTTTTCTTCATGTTTTTTTAATATTTGTTTTTTTTAATGCCATATTTTCCTTTCCAATGGGGACTCTCAATAAAATCCATTTGCGTACTCTACAAACAGTGATTATTTAGTGACTTATAAATATAAAATGTATCTATATTTATAAATATAGATTTTGTTTTGTCTTTTATGCGTCCATTATTTTTCTGTGTGCCAAGTATAAACTACCCACTAACACAGTATGTTCTCACTTTCATCTTCAGTTTCTATACTCTCCAAATTCAGTTGTTGTTGTTGAAATAATTATGTTTAAATAAATTAAGTGATGGTTTTACTTATGGTAAATTCTGCATGTTTTCACAGATTTTTCCAGTTCAGAAAACCACAACATTTATAGTGGCAGGAATGCTAACACTTTATTGTTGGAAAAAGTGGCAGAAAGAAACACAAATCTGTTATGTTGACAGTTACATGGAGCAAGTTCAAAAATGGTGGTCAGGGCACAGAAAAGCAACAGGGAAAAAAAACAAGAACTACAGATTTAGAAATTGTGCCAAAAATATGCAGAATATTAGACAGAAATGTGTCAGCGACTCTTCAATAACCTTCCTCCACAGTGCCTGCTAGAGTCAGGAGGTATGTTAACGTGATAGACTATTTTGTGAATATAGGCCTTATTATGTAAGGTAATTCTGTCTTCACAGAAAATTTGAAGCTTTTCAACCTCTGTTACTGTTCTAAAGTCGAGACTGATCAGTTATGATTGCACAGCTACTCTCCATAGAGTTCAAACTTCAAAACTGGCTAAAAAAATATTTCTGGATTAAATAAATGGATGATATTATGCCACTAAGTACTTGTGTTTTGCCTCTCTGGGATTGGGCATCACTGGTGCTTTATAAATAAACTGATTTCTAAAAAATCATGTGTGTATAATGTAAACTTTCCCTTTTTACATCCCTGTGATATATGCTAGCTATTTATGTTTACTATAAAGTGAAGTTTTCCTTATCACATCAAAGTGGACTTTTCGTTTAAAAACAAAGTGGCTCATTTGTTTAATATATTATAATAATATAATAATAATAACAGCCATTGTCCCCATTCTGCTTCTGGACTACCCTGTGTGCCTCTTGTACGGAACTGTGTAAAATGATATTCTGTCTTACAATTCCAAACAACATGTCTTTGGTCTCCTTCCTGATTGGTTATTCATTACTAAATTGAAACAACAATAACTTGCTTTACAGCCAGTGTCCTTCAGAGGAGATTTTCCAAAACAGTATAAGTAATATACTGAATGTGTGCCAGTGACTTTAATAGCCTAATAAATAGTAAGTTAAGCATATCTAAACATCTTAAAGGTACATCTTAAAGGGATACATCATTTGATCCTTGACTCTTCTCCGTGACTAAGATTTTGCACTTTAACCTATCTAAAGGATTTTCATACCACTCACGTTGATAATATGTGAGCACACATAAACGCAGCCATAATGGGGATTGAAGAAGGAGTGTGTTTATGAGATTGCACTGGACAAATTCTCTCCTGAAATATGATTGATTTACTCAATAATTAGCATCAGAGAAAGCATCAAATGAAACGAAATACTGACCAAAAACAAAAGTCCTGCAAAGTGAAGAAAACAACGATTTTTCCTCTAGATACCAGTGACACAAATTTAGCCATGACTGTTCTTTTCAAAGCTGATAAACTGCTAGAAATGAAACATCAAGCAGAAAAAGTTAACTGAACACACGCATTTTTTTTATGCGCTATTGATAAATGTAAATGTTTTTTTAAATTATAAGATTTCTTAAGGAAACAAAATTACAAATTTTCTTTGTCAAACTCACAAATAAAATACATAGTAATGAGGCACGATACATCATTCCATCCTCCCGAGGCAACCATCTCAACACAGTCCTCCTCTTCATAAGCATTATTAGGTTCTCCTTGGCGCCATTTGTTGAAGGTCTGCAGTGGGGAGCGATCAGAATACACAAAATGGCTTTCTTTTTCCAAGTCATTGATCCCAATGAAAACTCTTGTGAGGCTTGCTTGGTTGATGTATGATGCAATCAGATTATTGGTTGTCTCATCTTTAGGCATGCTGAGAGTTCCGCCTCTTCCTTGGCAGTAAGCCTGGGCATCAATGTACTTCTTTTCTTCCTTCACCAGTAAGTAGATCTTACTATCCGTCTCGCGCACTCCGGCAACAACTGCGGGGGAGGGCAGTGCTGAAAAGTGAGCACTCGTATTTCTGTAATAACCTTAATGTACATTGCAATAATTCAAACAGGTAACTGTTGATATTGTATATCACCTGTTAATATTAGGAATATTGCTCAAAGGGTAAGTAGTCCTATCCACCATAGATTTAGCATGTAATTTTGGATAAAGTATTATGTTAACACCTCACTTAAAATACCACTTTAGGTATCTAAAAATAAAATTGATGTTATCATAAAAAATGAAAAATAAAATGCTAAGTTACCCATCAAAATTTACAAAGACTTAGGCAGGAGAAATACTTATTTTAATAAAATAATTTATGATAACTTACATTTGATCATGCAACTCATTTTTCTTCAAACTGTTGATAAGTCTAATATGTTTCTAAAACCCATGAAATATCTGCCCTAAAAGCTCAGTGGACTGATCTTAAAGCAGACTGTAAATATTAGTAGCTTGTTGATAACGGGGCACATTGGTATTGCAGATGGGAACTACATTTCTCCTTGTTGTGGTTCATCTAAGCATTATAGGAAATGTAGTCAGCAAACTTCTGCAGTGTTAAAGTTATCCACAAAAGCCTATAAGCTCTGTGCAAAGTTATCAAAGATTGGTAAAGTTAGTATGAATATGGTTTTAAATGGGGAATATTTAAAAGTACATGTGGGTGTTTCTTTGCTTCTGAGAAAATTATTGAGGTGAGTTATTATTATTATTTATAAAGCGCCAGCAAGTTCCGTATCGCTGTACAATGGGTGGACTAACAGACAAGTATTTGTAACCAGACAAGTTGGGCACACAGGAACAGAGGGAGTTTCATCACCTTTCCAATCAACTGATACATTACACATCCTGTCTACAAAACTTCACAGTGAGGTGGTTCTAGGAATCATTTCTACTGGTTCTATCTGGTCTATTTATAGTTACAGAGAACTTTTTTTTTTTGTAATCTCTTACGAAACTTGGCAACATCACTATATTTATCAATTATTAAAAAATGTCCAGACATTCTCTGCCTTTGGCATTCTCTGAAATCAAAAGCAAAAACTTGTAAAAGAAGAAAACTAAATATCTTAACCATGGAAAAATGGGTTCAGTAAATTACATCATCACTTCATCTAATCTAAGTCCAATTCATTGAGATTTCTATCTTTATGGCCCTTTTTTGACAGCTTAGCATTTCATACATTAAACAGCTGACAATAAAATAAAGATTCGGGATGGACTTTAGGCTTATCATTTTGTAACAATCAGCCGATGGGCTAGTTTCAGAAACTTATATACTCATTGTCCTAAGAAATATGTAGAAAGTACATACCATTTTTTATAAATTTTAATTCTGTAGTTAGCTGTGCCACTTGGATGTCCATCTCTCCAACAGCTTTTCTGAGTTGGCCACATTCGCAAGGGATGCCTACAGAAACAAAGCAATGACTGGATTGCATATGAGGTCTAGCAATGCACATCAGTTTGTATGATTAATTTGTCTGATATTTGAATATATTATTTAGTACAAGGTTAAGGTATTTTATACCAAATACCAACACCTACAGATCACTGGGACATTGACATATAGTTTTAAGCTATCAATGCTCACTGCCATCATTCTTTTACCATTTTTATATAAATATACAGGTTAAAATGTTCTCAATAGGCAATGAAAATGTTTTTTTAAATGTTTCTGTGTTTCTCTAGCAGTTAAATGAATCCTGGAAATTCAGTAACACTTTAGTGGTTGAGGAAAAGATACAATATGGATAGATAGTAAGCTTGTTGGAGCAAGGCTATCTTTGTCTCTCGTCTTTTTGTTTTGTTAGTCAGTTATTTATTTGTCCAATATCTACATTCTATCTTTTAAAAGCACTGTGAAAAATGTTGGTTCTATATAATTGCTACTAGTAATAATAATAATAATAATGGGAATACCAGTCGAGTTAACCAGTGATTTAATGTTTTTCAGGCCATTTATCCCAGAAATTAAACACATTTATTGCAGCACACATTTGCTGCAAAAATACCTGCTATAACATAATCCTTTAATCAAAGACCAATAATAATTCATTGATATCAATATAACAAAAGATTTGTCTAAATCCAGTCTTGTATAGGTTCATTAATATATTATTAATTGCTTAACATGATTACTTTGCACATTATTCATAGATACCTTTGATAATATGTACAGTGATAAGTGTGCACATTGCTTCATGGTTTAACAATAATATGCTTTACAAAAAAGGTTCATTGGAGAAATGTTACTAAAATCATATTACGTCATTTATAAACAGCCTGTACATTCCTCCTCCAGTTCGGATTGGATGGATGGATGCACCAAGAATGGATGCCTCGGCTCTTTGAGAACTGGTCATGACTATCCTCAAGACAGAATTTAACCTGGATCTGGAATCACAGGGATGAATTGGAGGTGTGTGCAGACAGCAAGACTACAAGATGAGCCTCACTGCTGAATTCAATATAGACTGTAATGGGGCAAACTGGGAACACGTAAGACCACTGAGAAGCGGATTGCAGTAGTCAAAGCGAAAGAGGATAATGGACCAGCACCTTAGCTGCAACTGGCATTAGATAGGAGCAGAAGCAAGCTATGTTTTTGAGAAAGAAGAGAAGGATTTGGGAAGTGACTGGCAGTATGGATTGAAAACAGTAGGCGAACAAGGACAGGGCCAACAGAGAGGGTTTGCGGGGGAAGAAGAAAAGCCAGAAAAGGAAACACTGGAATGTTCCTGATAAGTAACAGTGTCGAAAGCAGCAGATTAGTCAAGGAGAATTAGGAGAGAATAGCGACCACTGAATTTAGCAGCAATTAAATCACTGGATACTCAGAGCCAATTTGACAGTGACCAATACGGAATCCAGACTGAAGAAAGTCAAGCAGAAAGTTGGATTCAATGAAGTCGGTCAATCTAGCGTACACAGCTCTCTCATGGATCTTGGAGGCAAACAGTAGTAGTGGGATAAGGCAGAAGTTAGATGGGGAGTTAGGATCAAGGTGGATGGAGAGTGAATTATTTTACCTATGCAATGCTTTGTGAATATTCCTAGACATACAGAGCTATAAATAAATAAATGCATTAACCTATAGATGTATTGCATACTAAGATGTGGATTTAATAACATATATTATTCTGTAGTAACAGATATCTGGGCAAGCTTCCCTTGATGGCTCTTTTGGTGAGAAATAGTGAGTAAATCGAGGTAAAGAATTAATAAAAGGCCCACAGGTGTAATTGGTACATCTAGAGATACCTTGCCTAACTCTCACCTGCTGTACCAGAGAAAAGGGGACTTGTCATAGATACAGGTAAATAAAGGGTTAAAAAGCCTTTTTGTCTTAGTTGAGACCGTATGGTAACCCAGGATTGAGAATTACCTCCATGATGGCATACCATTAGCAAAAGTAGACAACCCAAGGTATTGCAAATGGGTTATGTCCAGTCTTTTTTAGTAGCCACTTAGTCACAAACACTGGCCAAAATTAGCGTTCACAGAACGTTTTGCATTTTTCACACACAAACAAATATGAATTCCAGTGTTTATGACTGTACTAGAAAAGACTGGACATACCCCATTTGTAATACCTTGAGTTGTCTACTTTTGCAAATGGTATGCCATCATGGGGTTAATTTTCATTCCTGGGCTACCATTTGATCTCAAAGGCAACATAACCAGTCTGGCAAATTTCGATGTGTATAAACTGAAAAATGTAATGTGCTATATTTGACCCTGTAACTTTCCAAAACAACATAAACCCTGTACATTGGGGGTACTGTTTTACCCGTGAGACATCGCTGAATACAAATATGTATATTTTATTGCAGTAAAAGCAAACAGTATTATGCCATTCACAGTTAAAATGCCATGCAGAACTAAAAAAAATAACATTTCTTAATTTCACTTTTTTATATATATTTTATTCATATTAAGTTATGTTTAATATACAAATATTTGAGACATGAAAGCCTTGTTTCTCCTGAACTACATGATATATGATATGTGTGAGTGCACATAATATAAAAGAGTTGAATTACGCCTGAACAGACATATACCGCAAATTCAAGGTTTTGTTTACGTTTTGTTTTGATCACAACATGTACAATTGGCTCAGTCCTTAAGGGGTTAAACTATTATTTAAATAAATTGTAGTATATAGTGACGGAATGTCCACCTTCATTCTCCAGCAGTTGTTTTTAATTACACTGCTTGCAAGTTCTTACAATTAACTTAATACAAAGTTGCCAAGTCAAATGCAGACAGTCCTGGAAGCCATTTCCATTTTTATCAGACTGAATAATATAATAATATACACCATGAAATAGAAAAAGAGTTGTAATCCTGGAGACCATTCCATAACAGAATAACATCATAAAATACACTATGGAATGTATTAAAGGAACACTATAGTCGCCAAAACAACTCTGGCTTAATTAAGCGGTTTTGATGTATATCATGCCCCTGCAGTCTCACTGTGCAATTCTCTGCCGCTCTGGAGTTAAATCACTTTGTTTATGCAGCCCAAGGCACATCTCCACACATGTGACTTACACAGCCTTCCTAAACACTTCCTGTAAAGAGTCATCTAATGTTTGCTTTATTGCAAATCCTGTTTAATTTGGAATTTCTTTTTTTATCTCCTGCTTTGTAAATAGCTTGCTAAACCCTGCAGGAGACTTCTGTGTGTGATTAAAGTTTAATTTACAAAACAGGAGATAAAAAACAAATGTAAGTCATACCTCGTTTCCACTGAGCAGTATGGTTCAGGTCGGTACACTTCGGAAGGGTTAGAATTGTCCAGCCTATTCAGGTGAGCATTTCCATTGCAAGTCGGACCGCCTGGGAGCATGTGGGGTTTAGACAAAAGCCTAGCGTGTCATTTGTCGTGAGCATTGACGTTTTCCTGTCCACCAATCAATGGATTGTATAGTATGACACCAATAGCTCTGCCCTAACCGTACCGTACCATTTCCTATGGACCTACATCTGAAGAGGGCCCAGGAATGGTGTGGTTTGGTTAGGTTGCATGGGCCACTTTCATAATGGAAACACTCAAAATAGTGTACCAGATCATACTGACCCGAACCATACCGCTCAGTGGAAATGGGGCATTAGTTACATTTGATTGAAAATGAAACCATTTTGTTTTCATGCAGGCTGTGTGAGTCACAGCAAGTGGAGGTGTGGCTATGGATGCATAGCAATCAAAACAGCAACAATAGTGATTTAACTCCTAAATGGCAGAGAACTGAGCAGTGAAACTTCAGAGGCATGAGCTATACACTAAAACTGCTTTAATAAGCTAAAGTTGTTTTGGTGACTATAGTGTTCCTTTACTATTTTAAACTGCATATTTGTATGAAATACATATAAATATACCTGGATCTCCGTTTGGCCCAGGTGGTCCCATGTTCCCGATATCACCTTTTTCACCTATAAACATAGCCATTAAAATAATATTTATATACTGTATATTTTCACATGTAAAATTGACCATTCATTCAAAAACTTAAATAACAAAGACAGATATGGTACATATATGAAGTAATGTGAGCATCACATCAAATTATTATTTGAAGTCATATCCATTTTACAGTCTAGAGTATATGTGACAGATTGCAAAGTTCGGTAGTTTTGTTAATAACAGTAAAGTCACAGGGTCAGGATGTGTGAAAGAACAAAATGAAGACTGTATCGGGTACAGAAACGTTATGGCTTAACTCACTGTAATATATTTTCACAGGTAGATTATAGCAAAAATAACCCATCTTCAGCATAATTGTCGCACAATTTAAAGGGACACTTTAGTCATCAGAACCATTACAGCTTTCTTATAGGAAAGCATTAGATTGGCTAAAATTATCAAAATTGATTGTGTCAGCCATGGAGGCTGGGCCAGCCACTTTGAGACTGTTGAGGCACTGGAGAAAAAGTGAACAAAACACCTCTTTAACCTGAGGGGCATTGGAGACCTAAACAGTTAGTTTAACACTACAGTGTTAGGAATATATGTAGCGGAATGGGTTTTGCTACTATCCACCTTTTATATTATTGGCTGTCCATAACCCTTTTGTTGCTTTATTTTATTTTATTTGCAACTGTTCGTTACTTATAGGAACAAGTAACAAGCTGTCCTAGTATATCATTCGTCTGGTTGTTCGGTAAGAATCCTATTCCCACTATGTTAAGCCATATTGTTCGACAAACTAACAAACTACCGAACAACCAGGCCACCCAGGAGAGAAGAGTGGCACTAATTGACCTCCCTATCTTTATTCACACTGTCTTAATTGCCAACCGCACAAACTAACTGGGTATTCCCTGGATGGCCGCCGTTCGACATATGAACACGTGGTGGCGGCCATCTTTACATATTATGCACCAGCAGTGTTTGGTCGTTGAGTGTCTGTAACCCAAATTGGACACTCGATGGCACGAACACCAAAGAGACTTCCATCCTCGCATAAGTTCGTGGGAAATCAATGGGACAGAGCCGCGTTTGGTGAAAAGAGTCCTACAAATGAGGGGAATCATACGAACAAAGACACAACCCATTATATTGTACATTTTCATGCATTTCAACCTCACGAATGGAGACCGATCGCACGGCCAAAACGCATAGAATTATCCTCGGCTTACACCTTGTGTGCGGTCGGTAAAACTAAGACCTCCAATAAAACTTTTGAACCGATCTTTGTGATTTTTCAGTATGTTGCTCCCCCATATTGGGGCTATCAGGGGATGTTATGAATGTATGATATGAAATTGTGTGAAGTGTTCTTGCCTCCACCAGAGTCTACAACTGGAGTGGGCGGAGTAACAGTTATTATTTATTTATATAGCACATTTAATTGCAACGTTGTTGCCCAAAGTGCTACATAGTTACATTAAAACATACATTTATAAAAACATTAGCAGGTGTACAAAAGGCCCTGTCTACGACATCACTTGCTGCTCCAGCCTGGCACAGGTCAGAGTATTTTGGCGGTTGCCATATTCAAACGGTCATATTTTTAAAACTATAAATCCTACAGTGAAGAGCTTTATATTGTGAGAATCACAAGACCCAGACCTACATTTTGATGCATATCTCTATGAGATATTAAAAATGAAGGCACAGTCGCAGTTTAGAAATAGCCCTTCAAATTTTAGCTGGCTGGAGTGGAGTTTCAATGGATGTCAATGGACAGTGTGAGTTGCAAACAAATGGTCATATTGTGAAAACTATCAGGACTATGGCTTAGCCGTGGACATGTTTTGGTGGCAGCAGGGATAGCTGATCATTTTGATATAAGATTTGTGTAGGTGGGCCTGAAAATAAGGGAGTGGTGGCAGTTTAGAAATCATGTCCTGATTTTTCAGCTTTTGCCAGCTCCCACTCTAGTTTTGAACATTTTGCCATTCATTCCTATGGGACCAATTTCGCCACAAGAACGACAAAACGTTCCACAAAGTAATAGCAATCCAATCGGGAACAATCCGCACGTTTCGGTATATAACTGTCTATGTAGTGTAAAAACTGTGGGAGGAGTTAGGGTAAATTTGGCTATAATAATAATAATAAGAAGAATATATATGTGAGATAACATTAAGTGGTCTTGCTATACAAGAACACTTAATAAAGCACAGGATCAATTAATGATATTTAAGCTATTTATTGTAAGATATTTGCAAGCACAGTCTAATAAACACATATTAATCTGTACCATAGTACCAGGAAAATATTTGGGGGAATTTAAAGGTCATATATTTTGTGTACTTTGAGTTGGCTAGTGAGGCTGTGGAAATAAATCTTTATTGATGTTGAAATGTTTTACATAAAGGCATGTATGCAGTAAGGAAATCTTACCACGAAATGTTCTTACTATAACCATTCTAGGAAAAGGAAAACAAAGATGAAAAGGTCATAATAACTCTCCCAACCATAAATTCCGACTGTTGTTTTTGTAACGCCTTCAGTTTTCCAAACTATAACCAAAGATCTGTGAAGTGGAACGTATTTCGAGCCAGAATTCAGAACTACGTTGAAACTTGCCAGCTTGATTGTGAAAACTAAATCCTCATCTACATTAAATCGCTGAAGTCACGTATATATTTAACTGTAAGATAGTATTACAAGACATTAGAGAATCTTTGTCTGTGGTCAGTCCGTCAGAACAGTGACGGGAAACTTTAATTATCTTCAGATCTCTCATAAAGCAAGGAAATGTGTAAAGGGATCATATCTGATACTATAAAATGGCCTTCTTGGCTATTTAATGTCCATGTAGAGCAATCTATAATGAAATCCACAATATGAATGTTCAGTAGATAACAAACCATCCCCGCCACACTATATGTAACATTTGCAATGTACATTGTGGTTAAATATAATCCTATGGCTTTCTCCAAACCTTAATCCATCCACTTGTAACAATGAGGGTTAAAGATGACTCATGAGATGGCTCATCATATTACCTTGATATGTATTGTGCTACTTTTGCCAAGCTGTTGGTGATTGTGTTTTAGCACTGGGTACAAGTGGTTTGGGTTGTCAATTCTATCATAAATTAAATTTTTGTAAAGTTCACAACAAAAACCTTCTAATGAGCCTTGCTCAGATAGGTGTTGATTCAATGTTGTGTTATTATGTACTATGTATTATGCATTAGACTGTATCTTTGTGGCATTAAAATGTCCATTCATCTCTGTCAATGATATTCAGTCTGTTTGTCTATGCTAGTAACATTTGTCTGTGCATAGTATTTGCTATCATTACTTTAAAAAAGTTCCCTCTGGTCATGATCAATATTTTTCCATTTTTGTAATCAGAGCAGCTACAATTTGGACTCTTATCCATTGGACTCTTTGGACTAAAGTGGCCCTGTCATCCCACCCCCACAAAACAAGTATTTCAAAAAGAGAAAACCTATATGAAATACTCCTCCTGACTGTGTTGGAATTTCACAGATAATCCAACCCCTTCAAAATATATACTTAGTATATTTCCTACTCCCCAACACTTCTAGACACTGAGCTGAGTTATTACCATCTTGAAGAGTCAACTTCCCATCCATCACCAGTGATGGCTGCAGGATTCTCCAGATACCTGAATGCTCTACTCTTGCGCATGGACCGGCCGGAAGACGATGGGCAGGTTCAGGTAAGAAAATCTCACCTTTCCCTGCCTGCTCCCAGCCACTGGACCACCAGCGGCGATATCACCTTTGGGTACCTGGCATAATTTGCAAAGACCCCCAAAGGTGATTTCACATCTGGGGATCCAGTTGCTTTTGTAATTAGTTTTAGTTTCAAATTTCACGCAATCAAATTACAGTTTTAGCTATTTGAGTCTGATCACAGAACATGTGAATTTAAATAACAAAAATAATGTAGAAAGATAACCTTTTGACTCCAGAATCGGGGGGGGCAAGAGATATTTGGCAATGTTTAGATCCCCAATAGTAATCGATTTTTTTTTATATGAAGAGGCAGAAGATATGGTGTAATAAAATTGTGGCAAGTAAGAACAGGCTGGGGATTGTCAGTAAACCTTGTGAAGAAGGTGTGGATGTCTCTCCAGTAGAATGTTATATGAGGGCAATCCCATCCAAAATGTGGTAAAAAGTACCAAAGGCAACACTACATCACCAGCAAAGATGGTAACTTTCTACTATACTGTCTAATTGTCTACAAAACGTTATCACAGAACTGTGAACATATTATTTATTTTAAATATGTACAGATATTTATATGAATGGAATCACTTCAGGCCATGCAGATTGTTCAGGAAATACCTTTTGAGCCAATAGGTCCAATCTTCCCATGACGACCCATACTTCCCTTCATTCCTTTTTCACCCATTTCTCCTGAAAAATAGATTATTAAATGAATGATACTAACTTGCAGTATCTGATACATTCAGTTCAATTAGCACTACCAAGAGGATTTGCTTTTAAATACATTAACACTCAATAAACTATATTAAAGTGACAGCTAGGGCACCATAACAACTTCATCCAAACAAAATTGTTATGATGCCAGGAGGTCCCTGGCACTTCCTTAACTTTAGGGATTAAAATGTTTATCCCCAAAATTGGCTCTCCAGTGCCATTATTCGCTGTCCTTGTCCACATTTGCTTTCAGAAAATCAGCCAGAGGAGGCCACGGACTGCCACTGTGCACGGCCCCACTGATTGGGTTAGAGCGTTAACTGACTACTCTAAGCCAATCAGCAGTTCCTCAGACTAGTGGCTGTCCATGACTTCCTCTAGTTGATTTTCTGAAATCAGATGAAGACAGGGACAGTGGAGAATGGCACTGGAGAGCCAACATTGTGGCTAAACCATTTTGATTAAGTCGATTAAGTTGTTATGGTGCCCTGAGTGTTCCCTTAATAGAGAAACAAAAAAAAAAAAAAAAGTTAGAATATAAGCAAGCAAGTCTATTGCCAGGAGTTAATAAGAAAATCTATAAAATGCAATTATAACCTCTGTGAAATATTATATCGAAGTCAGAGTACACTTTCCTTGCCAAATTGCACAGATGGAATATTCTACAGAACTTAAAAAGCAAAGTGATTAACTGGAAAATAAAATGCTTTTTTTTATTTTCACATATCAAAACCATGTACAAACAATGGGCATGTATGAGATGATTTATACTCTTAATGATATCAAGACACTATGTCACTAATTACCAATCTAAATCACTGGTTCTACTTCCAGTACTTAGAAGCCATTTTGAGTCTTATTTAGTGGTCAAAAAACTGATATAGTTGAGTGGCTGTGATGCATGATCAAATGACGGGAAAATACAAAGAGAGAGAAGCAAGAATACAATGGGGGAAGTGGGCAGTGAACTAAGAAAACCATCAGTGCCGGCGCTTCCGACAGGCCAACTAGGTGGCTGCCTAGCGTGCTGCTTAAGATGGGGCGCCAGCCCTGACTTTATGATCAAATTTGCGCCGGCCCGTGGCCACCCCTCTATTTTTTGAGTGTGCCGCTGGCCATGTTACCCAGCCCTAGGGAGCAGTTACATTGCTGCTTACTAGCTCCTGGTAGAACACCGATCCAGAGGCCTCCACGTCATGCCTAAGAGCCAGGCTCGCCTCCCAGGCATCCAGTGCTGAAACAGCGCGAGGGCGCTTCAATTGCTTGCTCCTGCCCCTTCCCCTGTATGTGGGGGCAAGTGGGCGGGAGGATAGCAGAGGTGGGGATGAAACAGGAAGTGATGGGCCGCCAGGCGCAGGCAAGATGAGCATAGGAACAGTAATGAAGGTAAGACGTCAGAGAATGTGTGTTAGTCTGCTTCAGTCAGTATTTGGTTATGTCAGTCTGTATTGGTCATTGTGTGTCTGTATGGGTCAGTGTGTCTGTTTCGGTCAGTGTGTGTCTGCATGGGTCATTGTGTGTCTGTATGGGTCAGTGTGTGTCTGTATGGGTCATTGTGTGTCTGCATGGGTCATTGTGTGTCTGTATGGGTCATTGTCTGTATCTGTATGGGTCGATGTGTGTCTGTAGGGGTCAGTGTGTATCTGTATGGGTCAGTGTGTGTCTATGTGGGTCAGTGTGTGTCTATATAGGTCATTGTGTGTCTGTATGGGTCAGTGTGTGTCTGCATTGGTCAGAGTGTGTTTGTATGGTTCAGTGTGTGTCTATATGGGTCAGTGAGTGTCTGTGTGGGTCATTGTGTGTCTGTATGGGTCAGTGTGAGTCTGCATGGGTTTTTGTGTGTCTGTATTGGTCAGTGTGTGTCTATCGGTCAGTGTGTGTCTTTATTGGTCAGTGTGTGTCTGTATGGGTAAGACAGTGTCTGTATGTGTGTGTCTGCATGAGTTAGTGTGTGTCTGTATGTGTGTGTCTGTATGGGTCAGTGTATGTCTGTATGTGTATGTCTGCATAGGTCAGTGTGTGTCTGTATGGGTAAGACAGTGTCTGTATGTGTGTGTCTGCATGAGTTAGTGTGTGTCTGTATGTGTGTGTCTGTATGGGTCAGTGTATGTCTGTATGTGTATGTCTGCATAGGTCAGTGTGTGTCTGTATGGGTCATCACGGGTCAAGAGATGAGGAATGTGTACTTTATTTCTGTAACTCAGCAACGCTATACTTTGAAAGGGGTATAGCAACACAGCAAAGTTAAAATGTTAAAAAAAAAAGTCAAAATGTGATTTACTTAAGGAAAAATAAAAAAATAAAAAATTTAGTGCTAACTGCAAGTAGTCCCACAGGAAATCAAAGAAACTGAATGCCAGAATTTATTCAATAGTCACACTAAAGGACCGACACACATAAAATAAATACAATTCTCACATGAATCCTAAATCCTGGGGCAATAAATAGTAATCAGCAAACAGATGGATACACCAGAGGCACCCGTTGTCAAGTTGTATTCAAGGTGAAAACCACGCTAAGCATCAGCACATGTCAGACAGAGTATCTCAAAAATAATTAACCCCTTCAACACCTGTATACCTACAGCACAACTATATTTATCAACTTTGACACATTAAAGCAATTATATACTAATACAACTTCACATCTAGATTAATGTGAATTACATACTAACACAACTTCATGTCTTAGAGTAAAGTAAACAGAACAACAATTTCAAAGTGCACATACCTTTAGTTGGTATGAATCATAATAACACTTTAGTGTTATTAATTAAAGTGTATATTCAAGATGAATTCCAAGGGAATAGCCATTCTCTAAGTCAGCTACGCTTCCAGTTCCGACTACTTTCGTCTTAAATTTGACTCGTCTTGGAATTTTCTCAGAATTCTCACTTATTATTATTTGTTACCAACACTGCATTTTAATTGTCATTCATTAAACATTGTGATGTTTCCAGCTTAACCGTCTAAATTCTGCAGGTTTAGCATATTGCCAAATCAGCTAATATGTCCTAAATGTTCAGATCACTACAAGACTTTGTTTTCTGAATAAACCTCTAAATCGCAATGTAGCTATCCAGGATATAAAAACCATGTAGATAGAGTGTGTTTAAATAAAACATTTGTATTTCTGCTATAAAACCTGTAATTCTATATTTAAGTGTTTCCTGTGTTTAGTGAGGCACAGAAAAAATAAAAAATTTTAAAAAATTCTGATCGCATAAGCCCCACACAGCCCCAGCATATGTCACAGTGGCAGACTATAAAAAAATAATGTGTGACCAGATGCAGGAACAAGTTTTCTTGTTAATTTCATGTATGAAATGTCACAGTTTATAGATGTCAGAAAAATAATACATAGCGAACAAACCGTTTGTACAACAAAAGGTCTTTCCGTTTTACAATTACCACGACGTGTGCACTAAAGGTGAAGCAGTAAAGTCTTGCTATTTTATTCACCCAAACATACTGCGCAGACTAGCCCCATAGCACAGTTTATTGGCGATCATCAATTTTCCTCTGAATTGTTAATAGCGATCACGAGAGCTTCAGATTTAACCCCTTAAGGACACAACTTCAGAAATAAAAGGAACCATGACGGAATATTTTTTTGTCATGTGTCCTTAAGGGGTTAAAAAAAAGACAACATAAATTTATTTGAAAACTCATGATGTTTCTTTAAAAAAATAAATATTTTTGTGATTTCACTTTGCTAAATAGAACACTTTTGAAAATTAAATGTAGTTTTTTTTGAATTTTTGAATACCCCTATCCCACACAGAAATACTTATGTAATTAATTTAATATTTCCATCAAATTAACAAGGTTGCTGAACCATGGAGAAATCTGATTGTTCGATTATTCTCTTTTGGTGACTTTATTAAACATTACTTCGAATTGGGATTTTTGACTTCTTTTGGATCTGTGACGAGACCAATCTCGCCACATTGCATTGGAGAAGCCTGGTTGCTCGCCTGTTGCCTTTGGATTATGGCCCCATGTTAAAAGGCTTGATTTTTCCCTGCAAAGACATGAAAGCCGGGTCATTCGGTGCTGGCCCTGTTTGAGCGGTGATACCCCAGATAGCTATGCCATGGAGCCCATTCGTATAATGAAAGACTATGGGAAAGACTTTGGCTCCATGGCAATTGAACTGTATGTGTGTGCTCTGAGCGCCATTCAGTAATAATGTGCACTCAGATCTGAGCTATCTGGTGATATGAATGTACCTGTTTTGTGCAATGGCTGCACATTTATATGTTTTTATGTGTTTTATTGTCTTTTGCTGCCATGTGTTCAATGGAGTTTTGCTTTTGTCTTTGGAGATAATTGGATTACTTAGAAGACTCTGTGGAACTGGTTTTGGGCAGAAAAGCCATGCTTCCTTTGGTCACAACCATTGGACCAATTTGTATGAATTTGACATATGTTTGTATTTGGAGTATGATGATTCTGAAAATGTAAGTATGTGAAAGTGATGCATACTTTTCAAGTTATGAATAATGTGGAAAAATTGTATTCCTCTGCTTGTTATAATTACATTACCCATTGTGTAAGGTAATTACAGGCAGAGGGGAGGATTTTGTGTGGGAGTGTCTGAGTGTATTGTATGTGTTTATTGGTTGTGTTCCAAAACCCTGTGGGTGGTACTAATGTGTAAGAATGTGTACATAAGCACAATAAACCCACAGCTCTGGCTGTTCACTGCTTGACCCTCAACACGGAGCTTTGTCTCGTTCTTGGGGGCAGGGGCGGACTGACCGGTCGGGCACTTCGGACACGGTCCGAGGGCCCGGCCGGGAGGGCTGAATTGGGGGCGGCAGAGGAAGGTGCCACCGGGTGGCCGGTCCGGTGGCACACTGTGAGGGGGCCGGCCGTTTGATGCTGGAGCCGCCGGACCAGGTAGCAGCCTCGCCGGTCCGGCGGCTTTCCTCTGACTAACACTGAAGGGGGAGGAGGAGGAGCATCTGTCTATCATGCTCCCTGCGGTTCCCACAATTCCCAGCACAGGATGTGGGAACCGCAAAGGAGCATGATAGACAGATTCTCCTCCTCCTCCTCCTTCATCGTTAGTGAGCGGAATGCCGCCGGACAGGCAAGGCTGCCACCTGGTCCGGCGGCTCCAGCATCAAACGGCCGGCCCCCTCTGACTTGAGTAAGAGGGGGGAAGAGGGGGCAAGAGAGATATGGGGGGGGAAGAGGGGCAAGAAAATATGGGGGGAAGAAGGCAAGAGAGATATGGGGGAAGAGGGGAAGAGAGATATGGGGGAAGAGGGGCAATAGAGAGATGGGGAAGAGGGGCAAGAGAGATATGGGGGAAGAGGGGCAAGAAAATATGGGGGGAAGAAGGGGGCAAGAGAGATATGGGGGGAAGAAGGGGGAAGAGATATGGGGGAAGAGGGGCAATAGAGAGATGGGGAAGAGGGGAGATGGGGAAGAGGGGCAAGAGAGATGGGGAAGAGGGGCAAGAGAGATGGGGGAAGAGGGGCAATAGGAGAGATGGGGGGAAGAGGGGGCAAGAGGAGGATGGGGGAAGAGGGGGCTAGGAGAGGAGGGGAACAGAGAGGGGGAGAAGAGGGGCAAGAGATGGGGAGGGGGGAAGGAGGGGGGCAATAGGAGAGATGGGGGGAAGAGGGGGCAACAGAGATGAGGAGGAGAAAGAGGGGCAATAGAGATGGGAGGGGGGGAGAAAGAGGGGGGAACAGAGAGATAGGAGGGGGGGGAAAAGGGGGGCAATAGGAGAGATTGGGGAAGAGGGGGCAATAGAGAGATGGGGGGAAGAGGGGGGAACAGAGAGATGGGGAGGGGGGGAAGAGGGGGCAATAGAGAGATGGGGAGGGGGAGAAAGAGACAGAGGGGGAAGAATGAGACACAGGGGGAGAAAGAGGGGGAATATAGAGATGGGGAGGGGGAGAAAGAGACAACGAGGGAAGAATGAGACACGGGGAGAAAGAGGGGGGATAGGGAGGGGGAGAAAGAGACAGAGAGGAAGAGAGATGTGGGGGAGAGAGAGACAGGGAAAGGGGGGAGAAAAACAGTGGAAGAGAGGGAGAAAGAGGCAGAGGGGTAAGAGAGACTGGGAAGGAGGGGGGAGGAAGAAACATACAGAGGGACGGGGGGAGACAAAAAGGCACACAGAAGGGCTGTAGATATCACTGGTGGATCCAGGGGGGCAACAGGGCAATTGCCCCCCCTCCCCTGTCCGCAGGCACCATGCGGGCAGGGGAGGGAGGAAGAGAGGACCTGGGAGCTCACCCTGCAGCTCCTCTGGGTCCTTCTTGCACGAGCACAGAGCGTTGCCGCGATTACCATGGCAACGTTATCGCTCTTGCGAGAGTCAGCTCTAGCCCTGGAGCTACGGTCTAGTGTTCACTCTCAACACTGTGACCCCCAGGGATTCCTGGTGGTCGCAGTGGTGAGAGTGAACTCTAGCCCCATAAACACACTGCCCCACACACACCATACACATTCACACACTGCCCCATACACACCATACACATTTACACACATTGCCTCACACACACACATACACTGCCCACCCATATACACACAGACCCCCATACACAGCCCCCCATACTAACATTGCCACACACATACACAGCCCACACACCCTACACATTCACACACTACACCCCCACACACACACTGAACCTTTCACACACATTGCACCACTGCTCCTATTCCCTACTACAGCCCCATATCCCAGCAGATCCCAGGTAAGTTGTCAAACTGTTCTTAAATGGTTTGACTACTTACTCTGGAGCAGTAGTGGTTATTGTGCATAGATTATTTCTTTAAATAATTTACAAGTGCCCCAGTAGCCAGCCAGCCAACCCACAGGCTGGCCAGTAGCCAGCAAGTTAGCCAGCCCACAGGCCAGTAGCCAGCCCACAGGCCTACAGCAAGCCACAGGCTTACATCCAGCAAGCCCACAGCCTGCCAGTCGCAGCCAGCAAGCCACAGCCTGCCAGCCGCAGTCAGCAAGCCCACAGCCTGCCGGCAGTAGCCAGCAAGCCCACAGCCTGCCAGCCGCAGCAAGCAAGCCCACAGACCGCCAGCCAGCAACAGTAATTAAGGTAAGAAGAGCCAACTTGGCCTAGGTATCAGCGAGCTATGTTGTGTTGCTATATTGTGAATAGAAACCAGAGTGTTGGAGAGACCACCCTCCAGGCCCCATTAGACTCCATTGTAGTCTCTAATGGGGCCTGGAGGGGATTCTTTCTAACACACTCTCTAAAGGACACTGAGATAGCCCCCCGCTAGAAAGACCCCCCTCCATGGCCCATTAGCCCTCAATTGTAGTCTCTGCTGGGGCCTCGAAGGGCTTATTGCCCTTTTGTTCCTTGTGTCTAAAGATTGTGTAGGGTGTGGCTGGAGGCGGGACAAGGGTGGCGCTTGCTGCAGAGTATGGGTGGGGCCTGTAAGGGGGCCCTTGATTTATTTTGCCCGGGGGCCCTGAGGGTTCTCAGTCCGCCACTGCTTGGGGGGATTTATTGTATGCTGTTCGACTGCTAGGAGTGTAAACCTATTCGTATGGTTTTTCCTATTCGGCTGTTTACAGCATACGTATGGTTTCCTGTTCGGTGGATTGGTGTTCTGCAGTAGCTGTGCCTGTGTCTCTGGAAGGGAAGATCTACTAAACGGCGGTTTAACCCTTTTATGCTGAGGGTGCCGTTACAGGATCAAATTGGGTTCTCTGGAGTTTTTGCCTTCTTTTGGATCATCAGCATATAAAAATGAGTTTTTCAAAGGTTGAACTTGGTGGAGTCTTTTCCAACCTAGATTACTATATAACTATGTAACTAAATTGAGTTGTAAAAAGAAGAAAGAGGGTGGGACAGTATAACCAATCATAATGATAGAAATAACCTCTACATAAGTATTGATCCTCTACGTAAGTCTATAAACTATTACTCCTGAATAAGAGTGATGCTGACGCAATAGTAAAATATGATTTACATCCAAAAAGGGTGTAGGAGACTTATAATGTAAAATGAAAATAATCTCTTGCAGTTTATCTTCTACCCCATTTATTGCATGTTTTATATCATCTGATCATTCCTCAAATGCATCAAGATGTTATTAAATGTCCAGGACATGTAAACATAGTTTAATGCAACATTGATCATAATTACTTAACCAAAGTAATTTCCATCTTTGTGTTACCATCAATAAAGTTGATCAACTCTCTAGACTCAAATGTTTGCTATATTATTTGCAAAATGACATAACATAATTATTCCTTTGATAGTGTTTTAGTTAATGGGGTGATTTATTAACCGTCATCAAGCATATAACAATGCTAGAACTTCTATTGATGTATAACTCCATTCAAAAATTATATTATAATCTGACACAAAACTGGCTTTTCAAAAAACTCAGGGGTCAGATCTCCAACACATTTCAATTCTCCTAATTTTTAATGCTACGATTATTGGACTGTATTCATCCCTGAAATCCAGGTGCATATTTGTCATTATACATTCTTCCACTTAAGCTATGAATTGGAATAAAGTGGAACCAGTAGAACAATTTCACCTCATATTTGACTCAACAATGGTAGCTTCTATTTGCCAATTGAGCCATGTTAATGGAATGTCTGTTGGAAGACATATTTCCTCTATATTGGTTATGTTGTCCTCACATTGGAAGATCCCTTCGTCTCTCTCCTCCACCTTCATACTCTTCTGATACTAATCCTTCAGTTTATAAACTGATAGTACTCAAAACAAAACCATGACAAATATTTAGATGGAAAACACCTATAGGATTTGGTCCCACTCATCTTCATCCTCCTATTAAAGTCCTTTCACAGAGACAAGCTTGGGGACAACACACTTGTATTATCGGTGGAATGCCTACTATTGAAATTATGTACTTGAAAAAATCATCATAGTTATGCACAACTATATCAGTTCCAATACCTCTCTAAACTAAATGCAGCTAAACGTACACATCCTTTTATTCTAATCTAAACATTCAGAAAAAGGTGGAAGATGCAATGTTTTCTCAAAAATATGGCACCTTCTAAATCTTTAAATGGTGGTTATAAAACATGGGCCACAAAAACTGTAAAACACAAAATTTAACCCAAAAATACATACTTTCCCTCCACTCGATTCAAGCCCTAGGTTTCCCCCAGTGAGAAACAAATGTATATGCCAGTTCTGTCCCTCTGCAAATCACCTGTAACTAGAGACACCCCACACAATGTTTGAAGTCAAATAAACATCATAGCTTTGTTCTAGCAGCCCATAAGGGGAGAGGAGGGATGTATTTGACCATATTGAACAAATTACATGCTCTCCTTTTTGAAATAGCATTGGATTGGGCCATTAAAGATGAGGCAGGGCCTCCTTCATGATGTCTGAGGAGTAAGCAAATTGTGAGTAAAATTCTTATTTTTTACTCTATTTGACAAATAGATGGGGGGGGGACCTGTTTTAAAATAATGACTATGACACTAAAGCGTTAGGAATTGTGGTCTGTATTGCTTAATATTTCAGAGTTTGTCCATGGATAGCAATTGTTACATACAACTGCTGTGTTATCTTATGTTTATGTCTTAACAATACATTCCTATATTTTAAATAAACATTATACTAGTGGTTTAAAAAATAACATGGCAGTGATAGGATTCATGGTTAATTTATTCCAACAATTAGGTTATTTATCATAGACTTCTTTAGTTTAATATTAATGACTTTTCTCCCTTATACTTGCATTAACTATAATCACGGTCTTTTACAAGGAAAAGCCTGTTCCCTTATTTTAAAGTTTCCAATTGTTTGTCATATTTATTTTTGTTTTAGCAATGGACCAGTCCTTTAAGGAGAGCACATCCAGGATCTTATGATAGGACACTTGCAAAACATTGATATAGGTAAAGAGGAAGTTAAAAATATAACTAGGAAATTAATTCTTGATTATACTATGGTTAAACACATTTAGAACCAGAATGTAATGTGTAATAGATTACTTTATTGAATAAAGCAAACAGGAAAGAAACAGACATAATAAAAATATGGAAAAGTCCAAATAGTGGCTGGGGGGCTGGTGGCAAATATTTCTGATGCTAGTGTTCTACTTAATCTGCTCAGCTGTGAGAGGCATTAAGTGAGGAACTGCAAAACTGATGGTTTGTTTCTATTAAAAACTGTAGGGCCTTTTCAATCATCACAATTATTAACATGTGTGTACATATTTTAAGGCTCACACAGGTGACAAAATATGTACACAAATAGCTCTATAAGCCATTGAGAATGGGTAAGGCAGTGGCTGAGTGACAGGCAACAGAGGGTTGTAGTAAATGGAATATAAGCTTGGACTTGTCACCAGTGGGGTACCTCAGGGATCTGTACTTGGACCCATTCTCTTTAATATTTTTATTAGTGATATTGCAGAAGGTCTTGATGGTAAGGTATGTCTTTTTGCTGATGATACTAAGATATGTAACAGGGTTGATGTTCCTGGAGGGATAAGCCAAATGACAAATGATTTAGGTAAACTAGAAAAATGGTCAGAATTGTGGCAACTGACATTTAATGTGGATAAGTGCAAGATAATGCATCTTGGACGTAAAAACCCAAGGGCAGAGTACAGAATATTTGATAGAGTCCTAACCTCAACATATGAGGAAAGGGATTTAGGGGTGATTATGTCTGATGACATAAAGGTAGGCAGACAATGTAATAGAGCAGCAGGAAATGCTAGCAGAATGCTTGGTTGTATAGGGAGAGGTATTAGCAGTAGAAAGAGTGAAGTGCTCATGCCATTATACAGAACACTGGTGAGACCTCACTTGGAGTATTGTACACAGTACTGGAGACCGTATCTTCAGAAGGATATTGATACCTTAGAGAGGGTTCAGAGAAGGGCTACTAAACTGGTTCATGGATTGCGGGATAAAACTTACCAGGAAAGGTTAAAGGATCTTAACATGTATAGCTTGGAGGAAAGACGAGACAGGGGGGATATGATAGAAACATTTAAATATATAAAGGGAATCAACACAGTAAAGGAGGGGACTATATTTAAAAGAAGAAAAACTACCACAACAAGAGGACATAGTCTTAAATTAGAGGGACAAAGGTTTATAAATAATATCAGAAAGTATTACTTTACTGAGAGGGTAGTGGATGCATGGAATAGCCTTCAAGCTGAAGTGGTAGAGGTTAACACAGTAAAGGAGTTTAAGCATGCGTGGGATAGGCATAAGGCTATCCTAACTATAAGATAAAGCTAGGGACTAATGAAAGTATTTAGAAAATTGGGCAGACTAGATGGGCCGAATGGTTCTTATCTGCCGTCCCATTCTATGTTTCTATGTGTGCCCGCTGGTTTCAAAAGTGAGCCATTTACCTTTCTCTCCTGGTGGACCAACTCTGCCAGGTCTTCCTGGAGCACCTTTCTCTCCTTTTTCCCCAGCATCCCCTAGAAATGCAACGTAATAGAGAGGAGTGAATGGTTAGTGACATTACGGAAATGGGCCAGCGTTTCTGTTCAGTAAGAGAGGTATAATGTGCAGTGTGCAGAATTCTTTAAAATAATGCTTTGAGTTATGCTTAAAGGGACACTCCAGGCACCCAGACCACTTCTGCCCATTGGAGTGGTCTGGGTGCCAGCTCCCACTACCCTTAACCCTGCAACTGTAATTAGTGCAGTTTATCATAAACTGCACTAATTGCTTAACAGGGTTATGTCCTCCTCTAGTGGCTGTCTATGTTTTAAGAGATGTTTTAAGAGATGCTGGATGTCCTCACGCAATGCATGAGGACCTCCAGCGTCGCCAGAATCCCCAAAGGAAAGCATTGAATAATGCTTTCCTATGGGGCAGTGTAATGCACGCGCGCGGCCGTCTCGCGAGAGTGATTAGAAGAGAGGAGAAGAGAAGAGTACAGGTAGTGTGCTGGGCCCCCTCTGCGGTAACAGGGAGCCGGGGGCTCCACCATGCCACCGGACCACCAGGGATGGAATCTCCCCCTTCCCTGGACACAGGTAAGAAGCAGGGAGGGGGGAGAAACATTTAATTATTTTAATATAAAATTAAAAAATGTATGTGAAAATGCCCCTTCCCCCCCATCCCAGATTGCACATTTACACACACACTGCATACACTAACACAACACACACACTGCATACACTAAAACAACACACACTGCATACACTAATACAACACACACACTGCATACACTAACACAACACACACTGCATACACTAATACAACACAGTGCATACACTAACACAACACGCACTGCATACATTACCCTGACACACACACTGCATACACTAACACAACACACACTTTGCAAACACTAACACAACACACACTCTGCATACACTAATACAACACACACACTGCATACACTAATACAACACACACACTGCATACACAATACAACACACACACTGCCTACACTAATACAACACACACTGCATACACTAACACAACACACTGCATACAACACACACTCTGCATTCACTAATACAACACACACAGTGCATTCACTACACATTAACACACACTCTGCATTAACTGTACACACAGCATCCACTACACAAACATCCTGTATTCACAGTACACACACTACACCCACCACAAATTGAAACACTCTGCATTCACTATACACAGACACTGTGTCAAATACACACACTACATCCACTACAGACATTGCATCCACTAAACACATTTCATCTAGTACACACAAACACTACATCCACTACACAAACACACACTACATCACTGTACACACACTACATCCACTACTCAAACACACTCTGCGTTCACTATACACACTGCATCTGCTACACAAACACACACTCTGCATTCACTGCACAAACAGTATCTAATACACACAAACACTACATCCATTACACACATTCTAATTCACTTCCACTATACACACCACATTCAGTCCTGCATCATTGTCAGCTGACTAGGTAGGGCATGGGCAGGCCCGAGGGGAGGGAAGGGGAGGCGGGCCCAGACCTTGTGCTTTGTCAGGGGCCGCAAAATTTCTGATGGCGGCCCTGGGGGTGGGAGAGAGAGGGGACCTGCAGTGCCAGGAAAACGGTTTGTCCCTTTAAGGGGCTACTCTGAGAACCATGAACACTTCTGCTCTTAGAGTTTAGTGTTTCAGCTTGAAACGCTGCCTATACAGAGATATTCATATTTTTGCCCTAAGTGTAGTCACACCTCCAGGACCACGGTATAGTCAGTATGGAACACTGTCCCAGGCTGACTAATGTGAATTCTGTTCTTCATCACAAATGCACTGTACACTGTTGACAGATGTTATCAGCCTTTTCCATTGCAACCAGTGCTGTGAGCACACCTGCATTGTGAAGGCTTTAGGAATGCACGCGTGCGGCAAACACACACACACACAGTCATACACAAAAACACACACAGTCAGACACAAACACACACACACAGTCACAAACACACACACAGTCAGACACAAACACAATCACTCACATTAACTTTTTTTAAATTTAAACCCCCCCTGCCCCCAGCCTCCTTACCTTTGGGAGTGCTGGGGGGGGTCTCTCTCTCCCTGGTGGTCCAGTGGCTGCCGGTCGGGCTGGGCGGCGCTGGCTGCTGTGCGGGCGGCTGGCGAGGGAGCTCTTTCTCTGAGCGGTCTGCTCAGCTCCCTCACACGCCGCAGAGTGAGGCTGGGAGCCGGAAGATGACGTCATCAACCCGGCTCCCAGCCTCACTCTGCGGCGCGCGAGGGAGCTGAGCAGACCACTCAGAGGAAGAGCTCCCTCGCCAGCCGCCCGCACAGCAGCCAGCACCGCCCAGCGCCCAGCATGCCAGTTAGCCGCGAGGCTAACAAGGCATTTGCCCTGGCCATTTGGGGGCGGCGTTTTTTGCCGCCCCCTGAAAAATGCCGCCCAAGGCAAATGCCTTGTTTGCCTCGCGGCTAATACGCCCCTGGCTTGGTGTACATTCGCCCTAGATCCAACTTAGGCGGAAGTGCTTCAGGGAGACCTAAGAACGGTTTTGAATTGAAGTTAAGTTCTTGCCTTTGTTCTAGATTTGTTTTTATTGAAAAACACAACAACAGGGGACAGTAAGTCTTGAGTGATACACTAATGCTTATAAAACAAAATCAGAATTTTATTTCTGACCTTCATTTGGCTCAGTCTGAGAGGGCTAATGTCAGAATGTTTTGTAATGCCTACCATCTAATACTCAAGACTATAGAACTTCCATCTTGCAGCTCCCAGATGACTCTATTCAGTATAGATTCCAAAATTGAGTTCCTCTCTGCTGCAGGATGTATATGTGGGATGAAATCCACGGCTTTAAGTGAGTTTTAGAACAAAGTGACAATTCATCCAGGATAAAGCACTATACCGATATACATAGTGCCATGAAAATTCAAGCAGACTTTTATTTTTTCAGTTCACATTTGAATTTCAATTTTATGAACAGAACTGACAGGTGATCCAAACCAGAGGTTGTTATTCAGCAAAATCTACACAGCTTAGCTGCTGAGTCTGCCAACCCCTGATTGAATTTAAATTGCTGAAATCTGGCTCAAGACAAAATGTTTTAACTCTTGTTCTCCTAAATCATATTACGTTTTTGCATAGTCAAATTATCAACAAGCAATCCTTTCAAAATTCTTTTTCCACATTCTCCCATTTTTCATGAGCTTAACTCAAAGATCTAAGACTTTTTCTATGTACACAAGGCCTATTTCTCTCAAATATTGTTCACAAATCTGTCTAAATCTGTGTTAGTGAGCACTTCTCCTTTGCCAGGATAATCCACCTCACAGGTGTGGCATATCAAGATGCTGATTAGACAGCATGAGTATTGCACAGGTTTGCTTTAGACTGGCCACAATAAAGGCTACTCTAAAATGTGCAGTTTTACTGTATTGGGGTGGTCCAAGGGGGTCTGAAAAACAGTCAGTATCTGGTGTGACCACCATTTGCCTCATGCAGTTGATTGTTGCCTGTGGAATATTGGTCCTCCTCAATGGCTGTGCGAAGTTGCTGGATATTGGCAGCACCTGAAACACGCTGTTGTATACACCGATCCAGAGCATCCCAAACATGCTCAATGGGTGACATGTCCGGTGAGTATGCTGGCCATGCAAGAACTGGGATGTTATCAGCTTCCAGGAATTGTGTACAGATCCTTGCAACATGGGGCCGTGCATTATAATGCTGCAACACGAGATGATGGTCGTAGATGAATAGCAGAACAATGGGCCTCAGGATCTCGTTACGGTATCTCTGTGCATTCACAATGCAATCAATAAAATGCACCTGTGTTCGTTGTCCATAACATATGCCTGCCCATACCATAACCCCACCACCAACATGGGCCACTCGATCCACGATGTTGACATCAGCAAACCGCTAATCCACATGATACCATACACGCAGTCTGCCATCTGCCCTGTACAGTGAAAACCGGGATTCATCCGTGAAGAGAACACCTCTCGAAACTGCCAGACGCCATCGAATGTGAGCATTTGCCCAAGCAAGTTGGTTACAATGACGAACTGCAGTCAGGTCGAGACCCATATGAGGACGACAAGCATGCTTCCCTGAGACGGTTTCTGACAGTCTGTGCAGAAATTCTTTGGTTATGCAAACTGATTGTTGCAGCACCTGTCCGGGTGGCTGGTCTCAGACGATTTTGGAGGTGAAGATGCTGGATGCGTGTGATTACACGTGGTCTGCGTTTGTGAGGCTGGTTGTATGTACTGCCAAATTCTCTGAAACGCCTTTAGAGATGGCTTATGGTAGAGAAATGAACATTCATTTCACAGGCTACAGCTCTGGTGGACATTCCTGCAGTCAGCATGCCAATTGCACGCTCCCTCAAAACTTGCAACATCTGAGGCATTGTGCTGTGTGATAAAACTGCACATTTTAGAGTGGCCTTTTATTGTGGCCAGCCTAAGGCACACCTTTGCTATAATCATGCTGTCCAATCAGCATCTTGACATGCCACACCTGTGAGGTGGATGGATTATCTCGGCAAAGGATAAGTGCTCACGAACACAGATTTAGACAGATTTGTGAACAGTATTTGAGAGAAATAGGCCTTGTGTACATAGAAAAAGTCTTAGATCTTTGAGTTCAGCTCATGAAAAATGGGGGCAAAAACAAGTGTTGCGTTTAAATTTTGTTCAATGTATATTAATTAGTGGCAAGTGGCAGGCTTGTGCAACATATGATAATATTTTTGACACTAAATATAAATCATTTTACCTGACATGGTTTCGTAATCTTCATAAGCTGTAAGGCTAATTTAAAATGGAATGTCAAGTGTGCTTTATTTCGTATATAGTATTAATTCGTCTCAGCAGCTGGATCATGTATGCACTTTCCACTGAATTAATTCATTCTTTTCTACATACTATGGGCTTGAGAAAATATGGAACTCTGGAAAGAATGCAGAACCTAGAGTTGATTGTGTTAATTCTGTGCTTGACAGCAATAAAGCTGAGAAAAGAGAGGACCATACATCTCAAATAAAAATACAATATGGCATTATATATCAGTTTTGATGGGCAACCATTGTATAAAAGTAACATCAAAAGACGAAGTAGCAGATGTGTTCCCTTGCCTTGGGGTGGTTAATTGCTCTTGTGTCCTCCAAAAAAAGGAAAAATAAATACATCCTAGGTAGGCTTCACAAATAAATAGTAATTTCAGGGGAAAAGAGAAAACTTAACGCTGACATGTTTATCTACCTTCTACCCCTTCTCAAGACAGTATACAGAACATTAGTGATGACAGGGACAAACATGGAGAGTTTTTAATATCCTGTTTCAAAGCTTTTTAGTTAAAAAAAAAATATTTATATATATATATATATATATATGAGCAAAATTAGTCTGTGTGGGGTTAAGTGAAACTGTCAGAATTGGAGATAAATGAGCATAAGAGATAGCAAGCCTTTACAAGCCTTACCTTTCAGTCCGGGTACAAGTATCTGCACAGAACAAGACTCGTCTGAAAGATGCTGAGGATTTCCAGACCCTAGCAGTATCAGGAAGACCAGAGTCACAGAGAAAACCAGACTAATCATCATAATGAGGGCCAGCAAGTCATTGACTTCTAAATAAAAGAATGTATAAACACAAACCGGAATTAGGCAATTTCTCCAGAAAGCTGTGATCAACTCATCGAGTACATTTCAGAAAAACACCATAATTTACACATAACACATATATAGTCATCTTTTTGCTGATGATACTAAGATATGTAACAGGGTTGATGTTCCAGGAGTGATAAGCCAAATGGCAAATGATTTAGGTAAACTACAAAAATGGTCAGAATTGTGGCAACTGACATTTAATGTGGATAAGTGCAAGATAATGCATCTTGGATGTAAAAACCCAAGGGCAGAGTACAGAATATTTGATAGAGTCCCAACCTCAACATCTGAGGAAAGGGATTTAGGGGTGATTATTTCTGATGACTTAAAGGTAGGCAGACAATGTAATAGAGCAGCAGGAAATGCCAGCAGAATGCTTGGTTGTATAGGGAGAGGTATTAGCAGTAGAAAGAGGGAAGTGCTCATGCCATAGTACAGAACACTGGTGAGACCTCACTTGGAGTATTGTACACAGTACTGGAGACCGTATCTTCAGAAGGATATTGATACCTTAGAGAGGGTTCAGAGAAGGGCTACTAAACTGGTTCATGGATTGCGGGATAAAACTTACCAGGAAAGGTTAAAGGATCTTAACATGTATAGCTTGGAGGAAAGACAAGACAGGGGGGATATGATAGAAACATTTAAATATATAAAGGGAATCAACACAGTAAAGAAGGAGACTATATTTAAAAGAAATAAAACTACCACAACAAGAGGACATAGTCTTAAATTAGAGGGACAAAGGTTTAAAAATAATATCAGGAAGTATTACTTTACTGAGAGGGTAGTGGATGCATGGAATAGCCTTCCAGCTGAAGTGGTAGAGGAGGCCAGGGACTAATTATTATGTTATTATTTATATAGCAACAACAAATTCCGCAGCACTTTACAGTGGGTGGACGAACAAACATGTAGTTGTAACCAGACGAGTTGGACACACAGGAACAGAGGGGTTGAGGGCCCTGCTCAATGAGCTTATATGCTAAAGGGAGTGGGGTAAAGTGACACAAAAGGTAAGGATAGTATTTGACTAATGACAGTTGCAAGAGAGGAATCAGTCGTGAGCTATTAATAGTTTAATTGATACGCTTTTAGGAAGAAGTGGGTTTTGAATGATTTTTTGAAGGAGTGGAGACTGGGTGAGCATCTAATGGAGGAGGGAAGTGAGTTCAACCGGAACGGTGCAGCCCTCGAGAAGTCTTGAAGGCAAGCATCAGAGGTGGGAGTACGGACAGAAGATAGACGTAAGTCTTCAGCAGAGCGTAAGAGCCTAGATGGGACATACTTGTGTATTAGGGAGCATAGATAGGTGGGAGCAGCATTATGTAGAGATTTGAAAGCAAGAACCAGAATTTTAAATTGAGCCCTATATCTTATAGGTGCCAATGTAGGGACTGACAGGAAGGTGAGGCGTGGGCGGACAGGAAGATGGGCCTTACCACCGCCTTCATTATGGACTGTAATGGCGCAAGTTGGGAGCACGTAAGACTACTGAGAAGTGGAAAGGACAGTGGAATGGACCAGCACCTTAGTCGTTAGTAGGATTGGATGCGTGCAATGCTTTTGAGATGGAAGCAACAGGATAGACGTGAAGGAGAGGTCGGAGATCCGAGACAGTTCTTTCATGAAATAAAACAGAGGGAACTTTGTTAGAAAAAGAGAAAAAAAGTGTGCTGTGCCTTTTAGAATAGTGATTCATGTGTACATCATTGTGCATATATTGTATTCATAAAGTGCAAAAGCAGGTCATAAAGTGCAAAATCAAAATATAGTGTATCTTCCAAAAAGTGTCCAAGTGATACAATATATAAAAGAAGAACACTTACACTTTTCTGAGCTATTTTACTCTTAATTAGTGCTGCTTGTCCTTTATGGTATTTTATATTCACTTTTAATAATACACAGCGCCTTTTTTTACTTGATTTTTTCTTTTGTAGAAGGAACTTTGTAACAACAGGTAGATTTGCGTGTCATCTGCATATAAATGATATTGGAAGCCAAAGGAACTAATGAGTTTACTAAGGGAGGCAGTATAGATAGAGAACAGTAGGGGACCAAGGACTGAACCTTGGGGGACACCAACAGAGAGGAGTTGGGGAGAAGAAGCAGAGCCAGAGGAAGAAACACTGAAAGAGCACTGGGAGAGGTAGGAAGAGCACCAGGAGAGAGCAATATCTTGTAGACAGATATTGCAGAGCATGAAAAGAAGCTGTTAATGATCAGTATTTAATAAAAGTATTAATGAAAGTATTTAGAAAATTGGGCAGACTAGATGGGCCGAATGGTTCTTATCTGCCGTTACATTCTATGTTTCTATGTTTCTAGATGGTCTCTTTAATCCATAGATTTAGTTTGAACTTTTTGTACATCACCCCCATCTTGCCATTGCTGTGTTTCCATGCAAGTGTCCAAAAAGGCCAAAATATAAATATATTATTCTAAGCCTCTCTTAGCTTAAGCAATAAAAATATCAACTTTCCAGAATCTTACATTTTGGGGAGTAGTCATCCTTCATCGTCCTAATTTGCACTGTTACTCCCCATTAATTTATCTAATCCATGTGCTAGCAGGTCATTTTTCCTAATTGTCTGTGAAGAAGGAAAGTTCACTCAGAACAATTGAGACTTTTTCTGGATCAAGTCACACTTACTTCTAAATATCGATTTTACTTACAGTCTTACTTGAGACTCCTTAATTGACTAACCAGTTTTACTGCCTTCAACATATTACAGCTCAGAAGTCAATGTGTTCATGGCACACTTTACTGTGCTATGGTACACTGGTTGAACATATTGTTATACAGGCTTTACAAACAAAAGGCAAAATGTTGGATTTTACAGAGATTGATTAGTTTCCTTATTTATTTAATTACAAAAAAGATACACAATTTAGACCATTTTGGAAGGTAAATATAATAAGATAAAACCCTGAAATATTCACTTAAAATATACTAAAAACATCATATGGCGTCTTGTAAAGTTCTTCTTCAGTGCTTTGACTAGCTCACTTGTATTTCTGCTCTTTTTTACCTCTATTCTTCAGTTTAAATTTACTCAGAGAGACTTCAAGGTTCGGAAATATTTGTTTGAAAGGCTCCTCTCAGTACTATGCTAATGATGATGTCCAAATACAACACAGGGAGCAAGCCAAACAGACTTTTCATCGAACAGTACATGCTGACTGTGAAAACTGGCACAACATCAGAAAAATATTTAAGCTGTTCCCAAAAATGTTTTTCAACTAAGGGAATCTGTGGCACCCATGTAGGAAATTTCATAAGGAAACAAATGTGAACTTTAAAAAAAAATAATAATAATAAAATATACGGTTTAATATTGTGTATGACTTAGTATATCAATTGTAACTATGTAAACACCAACATACAGTTATTGAAATGTAAACTGGAAGGTAAAATGAAATTGGAGGAACTGGAGATACTGGCATGCATCCTTAAATATAATTAACAGGAATCAACATGTTTATAATAATGTTATGTAGGTTATGTTATAGATTGTTTCAGATTAACTTCATTTTATTCTATGAACATGTGAGCAACGTGTAGATAAATGTCTTTTTGTAGAAGTAATCTATAATAGGAACACTCTAAGCACCGTAACTACAGTTTATGATTAAGATTATGGTGCCCAGGGTCGATTGAGCCTCTCCCTTTGTAAGTAGTCAAACCATTTTACAATTGGTCACTACTCCCTGCCTCCACTACTTTAGATAGAGAACAGGAAGCTGCCGAAAGAATGCAGAAAGAAGCAATGCCACAAGCAGTCTCCTCACAAAACAACACAACCAACCTTGCAACACACACAGCATCACAAGCAGCCTCTTTACCGCACTCAAATAACACCACTAAATATCCAGATGCACTGGGTTTAAGGAACATGCAGCAACTAACTAACTAACTATCCTCAAAGGTACTTGCTTAGAATTGACTGGGCCAAACTTATTCCAGCCTGAGAATTACATTTTACAAGAATCCTTAATAACTAGATCTATTTAGTAGCTGTAGTCTGGGGGAGGGAGACAATAAGACTTATTAATGACCCCTCACACTCAATCTTCAATCTTCATCCTCCATCCTCCTACTTGTACTATGGCAAATCAATCCAATATGCTTTCACCAACATTCTACACCACTGCATCGCTTCTCCTCATCATTCCTGACCTACTGCCCCATCTCCAAGTCTTTCTGAAAGTTTGCATGCTTGTCTGAGCAATGCTCTCTCTTCTCCTCCACTTCTTTTCCCTCTCCTCCCTCAGTATCAACATTACTTCTTCCTCCACTTACTTCGACCTCCCAGCAACCTACACATCTTCCCCTCACTGCTACACTTTCCTCTTCTCTCATCTCACACCCTGCACTCATTTCTCTGTACTGTTTCTCCTAGACCCCATGCATAAAAAGACACACTCGCCTCTTGTCAATGTCTCTACTTTTGCTTCTAGCAGCTGATGATGTCTTTCCCAACTTAGGACCAATCCTCTCCTCTGCTTACACTAAGCCAGCCAGAAGCCACACTGCCATTTATCCTCATCTACCAATGTTCAGTGTGCACTCTGGAATGCCTGAAACCAGAACAATTTATGCAAATGTACCGTGGAGGCAGCTTTTAAAAGGCAAAATGTACTATGTCTTTTTGGTCACCATGATGAAGACTCAGGTTGAAACGCGGTGTGCTTATGTGGAAGGCTTTAAGCATACATGTAAGAATTTACTTTTAAAAAATATATAGTATTTGCTTTTAATCTCCTGCTTTGTGTCCCATCGTATGTCAAAAATTTAGTGTTTGGAAAATCTAGAAGATAAACATTAAATGTGGAATTTATCACTCCAAAGAACTAATGGTGGAATCTGCAAGTAGAGATGATAATGCTGGTTCCTTAAAGAGCGAGTGTGACCATTATGTGTGAATCTAAGAGAGTTAAATAATATAATTCACAATGAGAAACTCTTTTTATCTGTTTGTCCTAGATTTAAAGTTGTTTATTGAAAAAACAAACCAAGGGTAACATTTATCACTACACTTTGTGTGCATTTTCACTTTGTTGTCCTTATGTTGGAATGCCCACTCTATCTGCAACAAACTCAAATCTACAGCTATACATAACATTTTAAAGTCTCTCACCATACTAGAACTCAAGAGACCTGGCTGTCCCCTTCTGATGGCATTACTCCTGCTTCTTTAAGTGACCTACTATCCCACACTTCCAGACTCAGCAACTGTAAAGGATATAGTGTAAGCATTCTTCTCTCCTCCCTTTCTACCTTTTAACCAATCTTCCCTGCCCCGCCTTATCTTTCCTTCGTTTGAAGTTCACACTGTCCGCCTATTTAAACTCACTCCGTTAAGAATTGCCATTATTTATCTCCTCGCTGGTCATCATAGCTTATTTATTGAATACTTTCTCTCTTCAAACACTCCTTCCCTTTTCCTTGGGGACTTTAACATCACGATCAACAAATCTAACTGCTCTGATGCCTCTCGACTGCTCTCAGCACCTCCTACATTTAAATGTTGTAAGCGTTTTCGATGACAACCATGGCACACCAAGCAGGCCTAATATCTCCAAAAATGCTCTAGAACTGCTGAACATTGCTGGGAAAAGTCTTATTCTGCATCTGACTTCCTCTACGCTATAAATTTATGCTAAGCTCGTACAATTTGGTCCTTTACTCTGCAAAAATAATCTACTTAAATACCCTCATAACCATACTCATTACAAAAACCCAAACACCTCTTACACACTTTAAACTCTCTTTTTTGCCCTGTCGCTGCTCCTCTTCCTACTAACTTGACAGCTACAAACTTTACTATTCACTTTACTGATAATATTTTTGCGATCAGGGAAAAGATCTTTACTCTCTCTCCTACCCCTACCAATACTTCCCCCTACCCAACTCCCTCCTCTGTTCTATGCACTCGAACCTGTTATGCCAGAAGATGTCTCTGCTCTTCTTCTGTCCTCTCGCCCCATCACAGTAATAGCTTTTCCTCTCCACACCTTGGTAACTCACCTTGCTTCTTCTGTTTTTGTGTCATCCAAAAAACTAACTAAAACTATTATAGTAACCTATGTGTTCTTATACGTGAAATTCAATCAACCATTACCTTTTATGTCACTTTACCTCGCACCATTTTGAGTGTATGCTAGTTTAAACAGGGCCCTCAACCCTCTGTTCCTGTGCACCCAACTCATTTTGTTTCTAATACTTGCCTGTTAGACCCGGAGCTAGCCAGATCAAGGAGCATGTGTGAGTCTGAGGGTGTGTACAAAAAAGTGAAAGGGTGGGGCTGGGTGTGGTCAGCAGTAAGTGATTGGCAGGGTAGGGTGGTATAAATCGGAGACATGTTCTGTACTTCCCCCCTGCCATTTTATAATCGGCTAGGAATTGTTCCCCTCCCTGTCTCCCTTTAGTTAGGTTGTTGCTTTGTTTATGTTTCACTGTTTTCTCACTTGCCTTTCATGACAGCAGGCGGGTGGCTGTCCTTGCCAATCATGGGTTGTACTGGATGAGTCCAATGGGTGTGAAGGAAAGTGGGACCAATCCCTCCCCTAGCCTCGGTGAAGTTAAGGTATGGTTTATTACAGACCTGCCCACTGAACCAAATGTCAGCTAGTGGTTAGCATGATCTTGGGGGAAGGCAAGGTTTTGTGGCCAGTGGTGGCTGGGATGAGGGGTAGGGCAAGTGCCCAGGTGAGTTCCGAGGTCACGGATAATTGATTGGCAAGGGCGGGTATGTTTAAGGAAAATTGTTAAGTTATATTGTTAAGTTATGTTGTTTGATGTTTAAATTATTAAAGATTATATATATATAATATGTAAATGTGTAATGGGTAAATAAGTAGAAAATGGCATACATGAAGGTAGCCTTTGGGCATTGTTTACTTAATGCCACTTGTTAACACACAAATGGCCATGCCTTTAGAATCCTGCTAGTCTTTGTTCCCAGAGATTAGATATTGTTTTCCAAAAATATTGTGTACAGCGTCCACCTGTGACGATAGCTGAATAATCAGATCCTGAGTGTCTTTGATGTCCTGATCTGGTGCGTCTTTTTTAGTCCATTTCTGCTTTGCTTTGTGTTCCTTCCCGGCCTAGTCTAGCATGGTTGTAGAACATATCGTTACTTCCATTTGTTATACATCTATAATATTATATAAAGGCAGGGCTGACATAGCTCCAGGCTCATGCCCGTGGAATAGGCCCATTGATAAAAAAAAAAAAAAAAAACTTGCTCTTACTTAAGTATGGAAACTTAAGACGGATGTAGGGGTCAGGGGATTGTGTGTGCAGGCTGACAATGAAATTAGTTAAGGTAAAGCTGACTTTGTGCACTATGCAAATAATCTTGCTGCTTCGGTCTCTCTAACACTGTGGCATGTTCACTTTCTTCTACAATCAATACATTCAACTTTTCTCTGTCCCAGACTGTATACCAGGAGCTTCTGCCTATTAGTAAGAAAGTAAGGAGAGAACTGGACAAGTGAGTGCTACAAAACAATCCTTAGAAAGCATGGAGTGAGCACATTATTACACATTTATGCCATGCTCAGGCTGCTGTCTACATAGTACGCCCTTAGTTGGCCAGCCTGCATTCACTCCAGACTGGCCTTCCAATTCTTTGGGAAGACACGTCCTCTTTTTGGGCATGTTCACCTCTGTGGTGGTTCTATTTACGTGATTCGCATCAGTGGCACACCCTTTTACGCCACCCACCGACATCCTGCTTCACCGGACCTGCTTTTAGGGGTTATGGATTTACTTGAAAGATGAAAGCAAGAGATTAGCACATAGGGTATGTGTTTTCTAATAGCTGCATCTTGTGAGTTTCCCTCCAGCACCACCTCTACCACATACATGGCACGTGGGAGGTATGACTGTTTTAGTGTTTTTTGTCGATAAAATTCAGTAATTAGGCCCATCATAACTGTCAGCACCAGGCCCAATGGGCTCTTAATCTGGCCCTGTATTTGGGAATTGGATGCATTCTGTAATCCAGAATCATATATGTTGTTCTTTAGTTCTGATATTTCATGTGCATACATGTTCATACAATGTTCCTAGTATGTTCCTATGTTCCCTTTACTCCGACTGATACAAGTAATGGTCCTCATGGGTTTCGGACCATTCCTGGTCAGTAGGCTTCCTAGCATCTATTCCATCTGCTGGACAAAGACATAATGCTTGGGGAAGTTGAGATAACTGCTAGGCCATCGAGGATTCCTATTCTCTTTTGGGACATTATTATTATTATTTTATTATTTATTATTTATATAGCGTCAGCAAATTCTATAGCGCTGTACAATGGGTGGACTAACAGATATGTAATTGTAACCAGACAAATGGAAGCACAGGAACAGAGGGGTTGAGGGCCCTGCTCAATGAGCTTACTTGCTAGAGGGAGTGGGGTATAGTGACACCTAGGGTATAAGTAGGGGTAATGAAATAGGTTGCTAGAAAAGTATTCACTGAGAATTTAGTAGGTTATTTTTGACAGTTGCAGGAGAGGAGTCATGGGGGGGAATGAAAACATGCTAATAGTTTAAATGATATGCTTTCCTGAAGAAGTGTGTTTTCAAAGATTTTTTGAAGGAGTGGAGACTGGGTGAAAGTCTAACAGAGAAGGGAATGGAGTTCCATAGAAAAGGTGCAGCCCTGGAGAAGTCTTGGAGGTGAACATCAGATGTGGGAGCACAGACAGAGGATAGACGTAGGTCTTCGGCAGAGCGCAGGGACCTTGACGGGACATACTTGTTTATTAAAGAGGATAGGAATTTTAGAGCAGCATTATGTAATGTAGGAACTTGTAAACAAGCACCAGAATCTTCAATTGAGCCCTATATCTTACTGGAAGCCAATGTAGGGACTCACAGACGGGGGAGGCGTGGGAGGTGCACGCGGACCGGAAAATTAGCTTTGTGGCCCATAAAACTAAGTACTCAATTAAAGTTAGACATGCCCAGGAAATTAAGAAATTGACAAGCCCTCTGACCAGTAAAATCATCAGCTTCTAGAAATGACTAGGGGGAAAGAAAAAAGTGCCAACCCACACATCTACAGTGTGTGCCAACATCAGGTTATATCAGGATAGAAATCACAGTATGTTATCTGCTGTTCTTGGCTAGTAAAAAGCTTAAAATAAAAAATAATAAAGGGACTCAGTCTGTCCCCTAGCTTTCCTGGTTATGCATTCGAAATGCAACTCAGCTGCGTTTATCTGTCCCCAAGTTTAAGTTATTTCATTCTGGTCCTAAAATTTGGGGATGTCCATAGAACAAAAATATTTCAAATACATACATATATTTATATTATAAATATTTTAAATATATACCTAGTTTTATTTTTTACCAGGAGAAATTAACCACAATTAGTCATTGCTGGTATTTAGCTAGAAAATACTGGAGTAGTGTAAAAGGGAAAAATGTTAGTGCATCATGGAACACAAATACAGTATATATATTTACAGTGATACAAAGAAGGTCGACCCTTTAAAGCCATACATATTTGCATTTAATGCAGATGTGTTGCCTGCAGTTTCTTTCTGCACCAAATGAATGTGCTCATCATTGCTCATAATTCTAAGCAAATGTAGAGATACAATCTCTCTAGTCCTGTGTATTGCATTAACCTTTAGGTTACCAGTGAGATGTGTGAAATCTGTTATATCCATCATGTTACATCTGCTCCACGATACACTATTTTGCACGATTTACTATTTTACACTTTTCTTTGCCCTAAAATTTGCACTAAATTGAACTAGTCAAAAGAAGCAATGACATTAAGAATGATTTCATCATCAACATGTTCATGGATTTTAATATTGGAAACCTTAAAAATCTATGTAAAAAATAAATGTATTTCATTATTGAACCATTCTTATTTAGTGCCCTTGCCCTCAGCACTTTATATAGATTAACAAAGTATACGAGTGACATAGTAAAGCTGTGTAATGTGACATTTAAGATGAAGTATTTATACTTTTGTGGCTCATGCGTCTGTTTTAACTTGTTCATTTTAGATCTTGGGCATTCAAATACCAGAACTCTGATTATAGCCAACTACAACTCCCAAATGTAACAGCCATTTGCTGTGTTTTTGTGAACCATTTTTGGGAGTTCTTATTTGCTAATATAATTATGTTGGGTATTTAAATATTCCTCATTTGTGTCAATAAACATATTTTGGGAACTATGATGATATACATTTGTACAAACTTATAGACTGATACAAATTCACCATTAAATCATTTACCTTTATGGTGTTACTGAGATACTGTAAACAAGCAATTAAACCGCTGAAACACAAACATCTTCTGCACCGCAGTACACTGAGCAAATATTCATACAATACAATATACATATAAATATCTACTAGATTGTAAGCTTATCTGAGCAGAGTCCAAAATAATCTCTTGTTTCCTGTTAACATGTCCAATAATTTACTCCTTCGTTGCTGTGATATCCCCACATTAATATTGTAAAGCACTGCGGAAAATGTTGACGCTATAAAAATTCCAACAATAATGATAGCATAATGTGTGATGTGATCGTCCCCTTGTGAAATGTCAACCTCTTACTTGCTGAGTGTGATGGCAGTTGAAATCCAATAAAGATACCTTAAGTACCGTATTTTGACTCCTCTATCGTATAATCCTTCTCAAGTGGATAAAAAGTTTGGACTCTGACTGACAAGATGCTCAGGCAGTCTCTGTATCAATGGAACCACAACCCAAAGCCTAAAGTTCCTTCTCCCTGATCATTCATCATGAAAATATTCTCGCAGAAATAGTAATAAAAAAAATACTAACCTTGTAGTTACCAAGAGATGTGAAACTGGATCTGCCTTGTGACTTGCAGGGCTCTCCAATCTCATTGCTGCTGTTTACAAAACCCTGACAGATCTTAATTGAAAAAGATACCTTCAGCTTCCAAAATAGGAGACCCCAGTGTTATCTTCAAACAAGCTATCGGCTTGAAACATTTCAGCTGCTGAACTGGATGGATAATTAGGGAAAAAGTGTGGGAACGCTGGAGAGCCCACGTGACGTACAGTAACCTACTTCTGCAGTCTTAGGGACATGTTCATTTTTTCCAGTTCTTCGTTGACGTTTTTAAAATTCTCAGCAGGTTGTGCAGAGTGTTACTCAAAACTTGAATTGAAACATTAAACTAAAGTAAATCCATTAGTTATTAATTCAAATGTTTTAATTTCTACACATCTTGGCTGGAAGAGTTGTATTTAAATAAAATAATAATAACAACGTGTTTAACCAAAAAAGATGCCTTCAAATAGTCTCTGGTTTCCAAGTACATCCTGGGGATGTTACTATTACAAAATTTAATGGTGCAAAATCTAAACTGAAATAGCCAAACTGTGATTATAGCTGCATTAGAGGATTTTTTGAAATTAGCTATTTTTGGTTTCGTTTTACAGTTCAGGTCTCAAAGCATCACAGTTCAGTACTTAGTAAACAAATTCAAAGATGGGAAACTTCCTTATAAATGTGTGTTAAAGCTGTATCATATGTACAGTAAACTATGTATCATTATTGGACAAAAAATGACATGATGTAATGTTTTACATTGTATTCTTGTTTGGGTAAGGACCTCTTCACCTACTGTTCACTATGTCAAACTAGTTTTGTCAGAATTAATTGTTTGTCTCGTTTTATCTATTTTACATCTCTGCAGAACATGTTGGTGCTAAATCAATAATGGGAAATGGAGTTGTATTGTGCATTATTCTGAAATTGCATGTAAGTACAGAACTCTTTTAATGGTTTCTTCTGGCTAAACTTTGCACAGTGGAGGTGGACATGTATACTTTTGGCAAAGAAGTATATCTTCTGACCTTCTGCTGAAGAAGAGTTTAAAGGGACACTGTAGGCACGCAGACCACTTCAGCTAATTGAGGTGGTGTGGGTGATGTGACCCTTTTGCACTTAGTGCTGCAATGTGAAACATTGCTGTTCCAAAGAACTGCAATGTTTACATTGCAGCTTTAAGTCTGCCCCCAGTGGCTGTCTACCCCAGCGTCAGATATTTCCCATAGGAAAGCATTGAATAATGCTTTCCTATGGGGAGGTCTAATGTGCGCGTGGCCATTGCCGCCCATGGGCATTAGGTCTCCCCTGCCGGCATCAGCATGGGCGGAGCCTGACCCAGCGCCAAGGGGCCTCAGTGCTGGATTCAGGTAAGTGGCTGAAGGGATTTTAACCCTTTCAGCCTTGCGGGAGGTGGGGGGGTAAGAGAGGGGGCACTGTAGGGACCAATAGTGCCAGGAAAACGGGTTTGTTTTCCTGGCACTAGAGGATCCATTTAAGGTAGCTTCTGCTATAGAAGAAGAGTATCATGTTAAAATGATGATGATTATTCTTTAAAGTTAATCAACTAACCATGAGAGTTTCAGCCAATAGAAATAGATCGCATGAATTTTTTGTTTTTTTTACTAAAAGACTGCACACCCTTCTGTTGATCAAAACATTTGACTATCATGAAACTATCTTGAAAATGTAACTTTTTAAATGATGTAGCAATTTTTCTATATTAATACATGCTTTCCTGTCAAGTTTAAAGGACCATAACCCTTTTGTTTGCAATATATTCTGTTTTTTATTGCCTCTTCCTGCCTCTCTTGATGACATAATTACAAGAAACATTCAGTGTAAAGGTTCACTTACCCCAGTAACAGGTCAACAACTTTCTTTAGAACACTCCAGAAACACAACAGCTCGCAATGGAGAGAGGATTAGTAATCAGCACTAAATTACCATAATAGCTTACAAAATATATATCTATATTATATATTAAAGTTTATTTTTCATGATAGCTTCCCTTTTAAAAATAAAGCAAGTTCAAACAACTTAAAAGAAACACTATAGTGTCAGGAACGCAAACATGTATTCCTGAGACTATAATTGTAAAAATACTCTTCAGGTGAGCGGCCCCCCTTGACCCACCTTTAAAAAGGTGTTTTACTTACCTTTTTTTCCAGCGCTGCACCAGTCTCGCCATGGTTGGCCCTGTGTCGCTCAGCCTCCATGGCAGATTTGGTGATCTCAGTCAATCCATTGATTTCTCATAGGAAAGCACTGGTATGCTATTGCGCATGCGTGGCAAAATGCTGTGCTGCGCAAATGAGCATCTCCTCATAGAGATGCATTGAACCAATGCATCTCTATGTGAAGCATTCAGCATCTACATGCAGAGTGTGGAGACGCTGAACGTCAGTGCTCCACATTCTGTATTAATGACCCAGGAAGCACCTCTAGTGGCTGTCTGAGTGGCTACCACTGAAGGTGTTACTAGGCAGTAATGTAAACACTGAATTTTCTCTGCAAAGGCAGTGTTTACATTAAAAAGCCTGCAGTGACTGTCTATAGACACCCGAACCACTACATTAAGCTGGAGATGTTCTGGTGACTATAGTGTACCTTTAAGTCCTTACAACATGTCTATATATACTACATGTATTTTAAATGTAAAAAAAAAAAAAAAAAATACAAAATTAAAGTAATACTTCTTTCCTTTGGTCATGATGTGTACTTGACTCTTGCTCCTTATAAAGATATTTTTTTACAAAATGCCAAATAAAATTTACCACATAAAGCCCACTTTATCTACTAGCTCCAGCAATGGTTTTCACCCTACAGAGGAATATGTTTTTTCTACCATTATTATTTTCTGTCTCTCTGCATCTTTGAAGAGGGACTGTACAATCTGCAGCGACATTTGTCACTTGTCAAGGTTGCATTCTAAAAGCTATAGAGAGTGTAGGAGGGAGGTAAGTTTCTGAGAACACTGAATAAACTACATGGATTTCCAATTTGCTACTACATTATTTCATGGCTTGTATAGTAACTGTACATGCTGCTGGTAAGTATAATTAACCATTTGTCACACTGTTTTTAGAAAGAGGCATTCCCAATGCCAGCAGGTTCAGTACAAATTCTCAACCAGATACACTATGTCTACAAAAGTATTGGGACACACCTCAATTATTGAATTCAGGTGTTTCAATCAGGCCCGTTGCCAGAGGTATATAAAATTAAGCACCTAGCCACGCAGTCTGCATTTACAAACAATTGTGGGGGGAAATGGCTCGTACTTAAGAGCTCAGCGAATTAAAGTGTTGTACTGTGGTAGAATGCCACCTTTGCAATAAGTCAGTTCGTGAAATTTTATCCCTCCTATATATTCCATGGTCAACAGTAAGTGGTATTATTGGAAAGTGGAAGCATTTAGGAACAGCAATAACTAAGCCATGAAGCGGAAGACCACAGTAACTAAGCCAAGAAGCGGTAGACCATGTAACATCATAGAGCGGGGTCACCGAGTGCTGAGGTTCATGGTGCATAAAAGTCACCAATGCTCTGCCTATTTCATAGCTGAAGAGTTCCAAACTCCACTGGAATTAATATCAGCACAAAAACTGTATGGTTGCAGCTTCATAGCATTGATTTCCATGATCGAGCAGCTGCATGCAAGTATCACAATGCCATGTACAATGCCAAGAGTCGGATATTGTAGTGTAAAGCATACGTCACGGGACTCTGGAGCAGAGGAAAGTGACGAATCATGCTTCAACAACTATACCATCAGAAGCTTCAGATTTGTACCCTGTGGGGTGAAAGCCATCAATAGGTTCCAAATTTTCAGAAAGTGATCAGTAGTTTTATTGATTGTGGCTGTCATTTTCCCCATCTTGATCAAGTACCAGATCTTTGCGTCAATCTGGGCCTGCGAAGGTGGGTCTGCCTTCCAAGTACTGGACAGACACGTTCTCAAAGTTGCACAGACTCTGCTCAGTTGCATTGGGATAATTTGGTGAACAAGCAATCCCACAATGGTTTGATTCTGGGGCAGGGCCATCATGCAGGCACGTATCCTTCTCCCCAGAGCCCCTAAATCAGGTAATGGGGATATGAATCTGGGATATGAATCTGCTAATCTTTTATTAGGGGTCTTCTGTCCCCCATACTTTTCCATAATACTTTTCCATAAGGAGTATTGGAGGGCTGGCCAAGGGCAATGTCAGGGTAACATAAACCAGAGCACTGTGGGTTAATAGCACCCATTCCCTCTTCCAGGGAGACCCACCAACCTTTTTGAATCAAGTATTTAGAATTTTTCTAAATTACCTTTTTACCAGATCTCTCCTTGGAGACCTGCCATCTTGAGCAACCCTGAAAATTTTCCGTTACAGACCCATGGTCACTTTTTACCTGATGTTGTACATTTTCATGGCAATGTCAACTTCCGCCATTACTCTACATCAGGGGTCCTCAAACTCCGCCCCCCCAGATGTTGCTGAACTACAACTCCCATGATTCTCTGGCAATCTATGTAATTCAAATAATCATGGGAGTTGTAGTTCAGCAATATCTGGGGGGCCGAAGTTTGAGGACCCCTGCTCTACATGCACTACACAGCAAATCAGGCTTGTCCAAATTCTGCTTATACACAATCTCCTGCTAATTGGACAATTTAGGGCACCTGTACTGTTATTTACAGCCTGTTCCATTATGCCACGTTTGCTTTTCACTTGTAGAGCTCTGAATTGCCCTTTTTAAGAGCTGTGTCAGAGCACTTCCTGCTTTCTCTGACACTCCTAACTTTCATTAGAGACCATCATTTTAACATTCAGGCCCAGGGGAGATAGCACAGCTAAGCGGACAAGGGCACATTTTTCGGGCCTTAGCTTCCTGTTTAAGCTATGTGGGTTGGCCTGTTCCCTGGCTTTCTTTAGGGCCATGCACATCGGGGAATTGGTGAGCCCTAGTAGGCACTGCAGTGGCGGGGTACTGTTTGCCGATGTTCAGTGTGCTGCGGATTATATCCCATTAAAGATCTGATGCTCGAAGACGGATGTCTTCGGAAAGGGTACGTGAGTTCACTTAGGTGCTGTCCAGGGTTCGACTATTTGCCCCATTTCTTCTTTTAGTGAGTACTGTGAGTTGCGCTCGGTATCCACGGGCCCTCTTTTGGTTCATGCAGATGGGAGCTTTCTTTCTCATTTCCAATTTATTCAGGTCTTTCGGGGATTGACAGC